ATTATTTCTTTCTTTTTTTTCTTACCTTTTCTTTTTTTTTTTTTTTTTTTTTTTTTTTTTTTTCAAAAGATGAACCGGCAGAGAAAAAACTTTACATTGTCCTCATGACGCCAATGTTGCCATTTGTAGCGCCGCCGAGCGTGCGATAGACGAGGGCTTGCCAGAAAGTGGTGGAAAAGCCAAAGCCCAGACAGGACAGGCTGGTGCCGACGAGGCCGATGAGGAGAACGGTTTTGCGCCCGGCGCGGCGCGAGTCGGCGACGCGGCCCCAGAGCAGGGCCGTGACGAACTGGGCGGCCATGAAGCTGGCGTGCATGATGCCGGCCTGCGTGGCAATGGTGGAATCGGGCAGCTCGGGGTCAAACCATTTGAGCTGGTAAAACATGTAGGCCTATTTTTTTTTTACTCTCGTGTCAATAATTTTTTCCCTTCCCATTTATTCTGAGGGAAGGGGGCCATTATTGCAAACTCACTTGCAACGACGTCTGCACCAGCGGCTCGCTCAAGCGCGACAGCGTCAAAATGGCGAGCTGCCGCTTCTGCGGCATGTCCTTCCACGCAACGGGCTTTTTGCTCATTTGCTCCTTGGAGGCCGGTGCAGGGGCAGCCGCCGCATCGCCGGTCGCGGGCGGCGGGAGCACGCCATCCGGGTCTTGCAACGAGGGCCGCGGCGTGCTGCGGCGGTTAGGATCACGTATCATGGCAAAGACGGCGGCGTACACGACATGGCACGGGCCAGTTTACGGATGAGATTGATTTTTTTTGTAATGATTAGAGTATACATGGTAAGAGAGGGGGGGGGGAGGGACGCAAAAAAGTTGGTCATGATGGGTTGGTTGCTGGTAATTCTGGAGCCGTTCCTTGCTCGGCGGAATTGGACGGACTCGCGGGGTCCCGGGGGCGGAAAGATCGAAGGTGGAGGCGATGCATTGTTATAAGAGGAGGGTTTTATACTACGATTTAATATGGTTAGCCAATTGACAAAGGATTTTGGTACATGGCTCTCTATTGTTGCGTTTTCCCTTTTCTTGACCAATAGAAAAAATGTTTTGATAATGTCTTGCAACAAGACTGCTCGGTGGTGTCGGTGGTGGCGTCGGAATACCGAATCCGCCGCCCTGTGGTGGTGGCGTCACTGCAGGCAGTTGGGCTGCAGGGCGATGGAACGGGTCTGCAGCGGCGATAACAAGTCTCTCCTTTTAGCCGAAGCGAATGAGCGGCTTCGCATATGTCAGATGTACTTCGACGAGGAGCGTAATGTCGTCCCATGCACACAATTCCTCCAAAATCCTGTGTACCAGTGCAAGGCAATTGCAGACAGACTTGAGCAGCGCAACGAATTCCTATTGTTATCTGGAGATCGGCACCAAAAGTCTGGGGGGGGGAACAAAGACTGGACAGGCAACATGCATGAATGTCTTAAAAGTCTGTGCAAACTTACAGAGACGCTACGTCGCGAAACCGGAGCACGACGACGACTGGCCGTTAGGTGCAAAACACCAACAACAGTTTCCGATAGATTTGATGATTCTTTCAGAATCAAATAGCTTAATTAATCCATTTCATTTTTTTTATCATGTATTCCTCATCTTGTGCCGACTTGCGCCGTCGTCCGCCGCGTAGCTTGAGTCCGGCCGCCCCCGGAACCGGAGGGGCAGCCCTCGCCCAAACGGCCAAGCCAACGACCGGGGCTCTCCGCTTCTTCCCCCAAGTCCAACCCACCACAACAACCTCATCCAGGGCGGAGCCGTTGCTTCATTGATTGCTTTTGGCTTACATCTTTTGCATATAATCATGGACAAGATAACTCATTAAAAGCCAGTCCATCTGCAAACCACCTTTTTTTTTTTTTTTTCGGCTGGTAGGCATGACAACCCCAGGCCCCCCCACCATAGGCATTTTATATAACCTCATCTGCCCTCCTCCCAACTTCTCATCAAAGACAACGCCCTTTTCCGTCACAGCATCAACATCCTTCACACACACAATGGCCTCGCGCAAAATTCAAGTCGGCCACCTCGACGTCCGCGTCACCGCTCAGCCCCTGACCCAGGCCGCCTTTGCGCCCTTTGGCGACGTCGTCGGCAACCCGCGCCCCGACGTGCTGCCCACCGCCTACTCTCACCACGCCGCCACGCTGCCCGCCAATGCGGCCCCCGCGAACCAGGGCTTCGCGATCCAGTACCGTCAGGCCAGCCGTCTCGCCAATCTGTACTCGTCGGCGCCCAGCGGCGGGCCTGGCTCCCCCTTGCTCAGCGTCTTTGTCTGCGCCGCGCGCCCGCTCTCATCATCATCATCATCATCATCATCATCATCACGCCGTCACGCCGAGTTTGTCGTTTGCCACCTTGAGCGCCACCCCTTTACCACGCAGACGTTTACTCCCCTCGCGTCGTCGGCGTCGCTGTACCTTGTGATTGTCGCGCCGAGTCTGCCGCCCAGCGAGGCCGACGCTGATATGCCCGTCGCCGAGGGGACGACGACGACGACGACGCCGGGCCGGGGGTTGCCGAATCTCAAGGAACTGCGCGCGTTTGTGGGCACGCGCAGCCAGGCTGTGACGTATGGCGCGGGGACGTGGCATGCGCCAATGGTGGTGCTAGGGCCGCCGGGGACGACGCTCGACTTTGTGGTTACGCAGTTTGCGAGTGGTGTCGCCGAGGAGGACTGCCAGTTGCTCGAGTTTGAGGCCAAGGGACGGCCGGAGCCGCAACTAAGAGTGCAGATTCCTATTCCAAACACATCAACGAGGGAGAATCTCTAAGGAAATTTCAGGGGAGATGATATGATTAGCTGTCAGTATATAAAAGATAACCGTATATATGCGTACGTGTGCATGCCAACGTTTGGGTCAAAGAGGCATCTTTTCCCACGTCGGCCATCTAACAATACCCTTGAAAAGCATGATTTTCTGCCTATATCTACTCTATTAAATTCCATCAAAGAATCAGGAACAAAATATACGTAAGCTGCACCCATTCGTGACGCCATGCTATGCCCATTCACAATGTCCTCGACGATTAGTCATCTTACTGTGCGTTCAGCTCCCCGCCGCTGAAACGAAGCTTGTCTATTCTTCCAGGAACTGTTTGAAATTGTCGCGAGTAGTGGCGAAAAGGTTCTTGTCAATCTCTTGTTTTCCATCATACTCTGGCACATCCAGAATGGCTGCCGAAATCGTGTCGGTGGATGCGCGCAACAAATTGGAGGATTTGTCCGGCATCGTCATCCGGCCAGGCGAGAACCCATACGACGTCTTTATCAAGGCATGCAACGATGACCATGTACGTACGCTTGTTCGATGCTTCTCTTACTCGGATCAAAGCTTTACCCTATTCCAAAAATTCAATACATTACGCAAATTTAACCCAACTTTGTGACACTTTGTAGGCCGAAATTCAGGCTCTCTATCAGACTCATCGTGTAAAACGCAACGCCCAGCAAAGAGAAAAGTTTCTCTCTCCAGATTTTAAAGAGCTCGTCATTGACCAGCATCTTTTGCGCCTGGCGGACCCTTCCATTCAGCCCGGCTTCAAAGATGAGCGCAACTGTCTCGTCTTCTGGGCCCGGCCTCCCGAGCATGTCATTCTGCTCGCCGCAAAGGTCCAGCAGCTGCTTCAGCAAACGGCACCAGGTATCGCGCACTCCCAGTTCACATCATCTCAAAGGACAAGCTACCAACTAGTCTACTTTCAGATATTTGGCTCATGCCCGTCTACAGAATGCACATGACGACCCTCGAGGTCGCCTTTTGCAAGACGCCCGAGGAAATCGCCGCCCTCACCTCTGCCATCCGGCCCGCCATCCCCTCCATCGTGTCCCACACGCACCGCCACCGCGCCCGCCTCGTCAAACCCTTCTTGTCCTATGACCTCTCCGCGTTTGCCCTCTCTTTTCTACCTGCTGCTGGCGAAGAGGTGCTGGCGCACCCCCCGCCCCCCGCCGCAGATCTTCCCCCGGAGAGCGTCACGTCCGGGGACGACTACACGTACCACCACCTCCGCCGGGACGTCTTTGACAAGGTGCAGGCCGCGGGCGTCGAGGTAGGCTCGCGGTACCAGGTGCCCAGCGCGCACATCACCCTGGGCCGCTACCTGACCGAGGCCGACCACGACACGCCGGCGAAGCGGCAACGGTGGATCGAGGCCATCGATGAGGTCAACAGGTGGCTGGAGGAGAAGGTTTGGGACAAGCATGACGCAGCGTTTACGGGGGAGTGGATTGTTGGCCAGGAACGCGGACTAGACGCCCGCAGCGGCACATTGTGGTATGGCGGCGGGAGAACCATTCAGCTGGGTGAGGGCTTCTAGACACTGGCAGCGTTCCCCTGCAAAGCCAGAATCTCAACGTAATCCATATCAAACCCATGATAGAATTGACTCATAGACTAGCATCCACAATTGCATCTCCAGCACCATCTCGGTACAAGTCATAGCCGTACACGGTTTTGGTAGTTTTTTTGAATTTTTGTAGATTTACTCCATGCGGAGCTGCTATTTTCATGACATAGAGAACTTCATTTCTTTTTTATGATTCGTTCCCTATGAACCATCCCTCAATCGAGGACACGAACCTCCCTTCGCCAGTTTGTTCCATATGCCCAAATGCAAGTAAGGAAAGCACGAATAAAGCGTGAGAAACCCCAAGATACAGTTTTTCTGCATTTAGAAAACGAGAGCAGCACCCTTGGTCTTCTTGTCACCACTGTACGAAAAAATACTGGTTAGTGTGCTTTGTCCCTCTTGCGCTGCGCGCGAGCAGCAACGAAATCCAAAAGATGGCTGGGAAAAAAAAAACGTACCCCAACTCAAAGTGCTTGCAGCGCTTCAGGGCCAGCTGGCACTTGGTCTTGCACTTGACGCACTCCAGTCTCAGGACAACCTTCTTGGTGGTCTTGGCCTTCTTGTGGAAGACGGGCTTGGTCTGACCACCATAACCGGACTGCTTGCGGTCATAACGACGCTTTCCCTGGGCGAAAAGCGAGGCCTTGCCGGCCTTGTACTGGGTGACCTTGTGCTGGGTGTGCTTGCGGCACTCCTTGCCCTTGCAGTACGTGTTGCGAGTCTTGGGAATGTTGACCTGTACCAATCGAGTCAGTGTTTCGTTCGTTGTGGGGAGGCGCGATCGCGAGCAGCATGTGTTCTCGGGTATGGGATGCAGAGTTTGACGCTTCGAATATCGGTCGTCTGTCGTTCCGGTCGCACGAGACAGTCTTGTTCGGATGCTTCTTCGATATGGATTGACTCCAAAATTCCGAGCGATTTAATAAGCATTTATTCTGCAAACTTATGGTAAAGTAGTCGATTCAGTGGTCGTTGTTGTACACGTTGGCGTATAAGGAGATAACATGAGGTGCTTTGCTGCGCATCGTCGTCATTCGGGAGTAAGAACTTGTCATCGTGCGCCGCGGATCGTCCAGTCAATTCCGAGATATTCCTCAACGTCGAATCTGCATCGAATACCACGAGTGCTGACAGGGTTGCAAGCACATACCATCTTGACGACGCTGTGTGGATGTCGTTACGGTTGTTTGGTGATGCAGAGTTCCTAAGACGGGGCGAAATTTAGAGGTTTTGGTGATTTCTCGGTTTGTGGGAAACTAGGGTCGGCGCCATGCCTCATTGAGTGTGTGGCTAGTGCAGCATTTGGCGCGCCACGTTGTTCTCGCCAAAGACTCTGCCCCTCTGCCTCACGTGATTTTACATGTGGCGCAGAAAGCCGGTAGTGGGGCTCTTGGAGGACTTGATCCGAGTGGGTGACCTCGAAGATTGGTGACAATGGCAAGATTGGGTTTGGCAATGTCCAAGACTCTGTAGCGGTCGATATCAAGATGATATTTCGAACAAGGTCTTTCAATTATCAAAACTTGCAGAAATGAAACCCGTCTATGAGATGGCCACCTCATACTACTTTTTCAGCGATGGGCCACGGTTGAAGGAGCATTGATTGGGGGAAAGAACAGTCAATAGGTGACATCGAAATGGTTATTTTGGAAAACAACGTTCAACTATCCAAGTTGTTAACGTTGCAGTTGTCTGGTGTTGTTAAACGCTCTGATAGGAACCGGGCATTGGTTTCGATGTCACCGGTGGATCAAGTTGTTGTCAACCACAGCCGGCACGACGTGCGCTGAAATGGCAGCAATACATGAAACCAGTGCTCAGTTTGATCATTAAACGAAAAGGAACCAGATTATTCATTTCTACCCAACATTAATTCAAGAATACACCCGTGACGTGTCTCCAAATTTTCTCAGCATGTTCCGGGTAACAGCACTTTCCATCACGTGGAGCTCCCGCGATACGTGGTGTCTGCAGGTAAGACCCCACGTAGGTTGAGATGCCAACGACACCGACAGCATCTCCAACATAACCCACGACACAACCGCAACCATGGATCCCTATTCTGCCGAGGGCGAACTGATCAACATCCACAACCACTTCCACCAGGGACAGTACCAGGAAGTCATCGATTTTGACACATCGTCCTTTTCCCCCGAAAACGAGCTGCCGGCCCGCCTCCTGGTGCTGCGCGCCCGCATTGCGCTCGGCCAGGCGCAAGAGGTCCTCGCCGACATCAAAGGCGCCTCGGAGCCGGAGCTGCAGGCGGTGAGCGCCCTCGCCCAGCAGGCGCTCGGCAAGACGGACGCGGCCGTCGGCGTGGTTGAGAAGCTGGCCGCCTCGCACGCCGACAATGTCGCCGTGCAGATCGTAGGGGGCACCGTGCTGCAGGCGGCGGGCAAGTCGGAGGAAGCTCTGGCCCTGCTGTCGCAACACCAGGGAAGCCGTACGTCGCAAAATCTCCATGCAATGGGTGCATGTAACCAGTTTTGAGATCCGAGTGCTAACACAGTTTATGCAGTCGACGCCGTCGCCCTGATTGTCCAGATCCACCTCCAGCAGAACCGAACGGACCTTGCCGTCAAGGAAGTCACAGCCGCTAGAAGATGGGCTCAGGATAGCTTACTGGTCAACCTCGCCGAGTCGTGGGTCGGCCTGCGCGTGGTAAGAAGCAGGAAGCTCAGGGAGGAAATGTGCAAATTCGCTGACTCGGAAACTAGGGCGGTGAGAAATACCAGCAGGCATTCTATGTCTTTGAGGAGCTCGCTCAAGCACCCGCAACGTCGTCGATTAGCAGCCTCGTTTCGCAGGCCGTTTGCGAGCTGCACCTGGGCCGTCTCGAGGAGGCCCAGGCCGCCCTTGACCAGGCCATACAAAAAGCTCCCGAGTCGGCCGACGCGATTGCCAACCTGCTGGTGCTCAAGGTTGTGTCCGGCGCCAACTCGGACGAGCTGACAGAGTAAGCCATACCCCCGGACGGCGGTGTTTGAGGTTCACCAGTTGCTAACCTTGCAAAATAGAAATTTGAAAAAGGTTGCCCCCAAGCACCAGCTGCTCGTCGACTTGGAAGAGAAGAGCGCTGCCTTCGACGCGGCTGCCACCAAATACTCTGCCAAGGTTGCTGCGTAATAAAATGGACTACTAACAAGACAATTGATACAATGGAAAAAAGAAATATGATCATCATGACGTACGGCGTACCTGGTAGAGAATGGTTGAGCATTTGTGGTTCGAGAAGCCCTGCAGATACTCTACTAGCTGTTTATAATACACAATCAACCATACAATGCCATCTTATTGTGCGCTAAATCGTTCGTCTGGCTGAGGCTAGCTAAATCCTGCACAACCTTCATCGGCAAGCGCAGAGCTGGTCTCAGAAGCATCACTCTCTAATTCCTCGTCTGGTATCCAGAGCTGTTGCCTGATGCCCATCTAAAGCGCTGCGACCTCAGCTGGAGACCTCTTTTCAGACAAGGCACTCCCGTCTCCCGCGCCTCTTCTGTTTCTCCGTCGCTCTTCGCAGCGCACCGCTTCTTCGACCACAGCCGGGCCATTTTCTAGGCTCGCCTTATCTGGCATCGCCGTTTGCAACGGCTGCTCGTCCAGGCACCGCGCCAGGCTGTCTTGTGCAAAATACCGTTGATAGTCGAGAAACGTGGGGCAGTCACGGTCGACATTGATACCTCCGGTGCTGTACTCGCGTGGATGCTGGGATGAGGATTCTCCGTGTAGCTTGTAGGACGAGACGTGGGAGCGCATTGGGGAGGCGGCGTCGTCGCTGGCGGACAGCCGCGACGAGGACCGCTTGGTGGCGGTCGAGGATTCGATCCAAGCGATGATGGACTTGACGCTGCGGCTGGGGCTGTGGCCGAGGCAGAGGTCCAAGCGAGGAGCCTGACCGGAGCCGCGGCGACCGAGGTTGTAGGAGAAGCTGCCGGGGATGGCCTTGAGCTCGCGCTTACGGTCGATGATGCTGTTGGGGGAGCCGGTCGTGGAACTTGCGGCGTGCTCGGCAGGCGCGTCGGTAGTTGGCTCCATTTCTGAACTTTCGCTTGGTCTTGAAGATGAAAATGCTTGGAGTTTGTGAGCAGCGGGAGAGTAAATTGATTCATCGTTGCGTGGCTAAGTTCGGTCCCTGCAAGGTGAGTAACATGTGAGCAGCAGGCACCCGTGAGGAGCACAGTGAATGGGTTTCGACGACTCGTCGATATTTCCATTGTGCTAAATATGCCCGTATCAAATATCTTCTATAAGCCCCCCATCTATTGAATCGGTTTCATTTTGAACTCCAAACATCTGTGATGGTCTAGACACATGCCCAGTCCATTACGCTAGATGCCCCTAAGTGTTTTCTCTTGTTCAATTTCAGTCGCTTACACTGCCCGTGATTCCCATGAGAAAAGAAAACTCCCCCATTGTCCATGATTTGTACGAGCCGCTTATTTCTTCTTGGCAAATCTGGGAGCGCCAATGTCGCTGCCGCGTAGCTTGACGTTGAGGATGCGCTCCATGTTGGCGAGGACCTTTTGGTCGGGGGCAGCGGTGCCACGCTCAAAGTCGGCGACAATGGTCTGGGTGGTGTTGCACTTGGTGGCGAGGTCCTTTTGGGTCATCTTGGGCTCCATCTTCTGGCGAGTCTGGGAGATGACGTCGCCGACGGCCTTGCCGATGGTGTTGGGCTTGACAATGTCGTCGGAGCGGTCGACCTTGGTGAGGCGCTGACCTTCGCCGGAGCCAGTCTGAAGGGGAGCAAGTTAGCAGAAGAACGAAAAGTAAGTAAAATAACGGGCGTCTGATGAGGAAAATGATTTCCAAGCCACCGAATCCTTTGCGATGGGCGATTATAGATGGTGGACGTTTGGCCGCAGTGCCGCAACGGTGTCACGCGCGACCGGGTGGCGGGGTTTTCTCTCTCTCGCCTCGTGTGAACATGGGACAAAACGTACCGAGTTGGCAGAAGAGTACTTCTTCTCAGTGCTGATGGCGGTACCGGATCTCTGAGCAGCGTTGAGGGCAGCCTTGCCACGGACGACAGTCTCGCGGGGGCCAGCGCCGGGGCCGCGGACGCGGCTACCAATCTTGGTTTGCGAATCCCAGTCGTCAGACATTGTGGTGGTTGTGGTGGTGGTTTGGCGGGGGTTCAGGTTGCTGGTGGGCGGGATGGTAAAATGTTGGACCTGGTTCGAGGAATCGGCGTTGCGCAGTCGTAAAAACGTGGATGATTCTGAATGGAAAGGCGAGAGCGGGATATGATGCAAGGGCAGAATGGGACGAGATGCCAGGCCTTTCGTAATATATAATCCAAAGGTTTGTGACGGGATCGGGGTGGAGAAAAAGCGCAAGGTGGCGGCATCTTGAGTCAACCGGCGGGCGGGCGGTAAGAAGTGCACCGCCACTGGTGGCTTGTACGAATACACTGCCTGCCAAACTGCCTACATTTTTCATAAGGCGGATTTAGCAGCGCCGGCTCCGGAATCTAGCACATTCCACGCGCTAAAATAATGAGTATCTATTTGGCACCCTTTTTACTGCCAGAAGCAAAACGCTATGACGGCATTGCCCAGAAGCCGGCTCATGGCCCACCAAACAGCTCACTCACTCTTCAAGGTATACGTATGCTGACACACACTTCATGTGTTTGCTACACTCTCAGACTTCTGCCCAACAACCAATATGCAGCCCTTGTCGACCATGCCATAAATTCAAAATCAATGCCTTGATGGACAGACAGCCCTGGTAGACGCGTGTGAGCTACACTGCAGTTCCGGCACGGTACAGCCACCAGCGGCCCTGGCTTCCATGGACGGCATAGACGACTCACCGCTGTCACTGGCCGTGGTACGTCTCGCCGACTACACGGATCGATTGAGCCCGAATGGCCCCGGAGCAACCGTCGTCGCCGTGGGCCTCGCGACTTACTACTGCTTGTTCGGCAGCCGTGGCGATGCCGTCCTCGTTGCCGCCGCGGCAGCGCTCGCATCGCCCGAGGCGCTCTGGCACCTGCTTGCCCGTTATCGACAGCCAGCCCTCTGTAGCGTCTTGGCCGCAGCGTGCAGCGTGCTATTCTTGCGACTCATAGCACTAACGGCTCCTCAGTTCTTCACTAATGGTTCGGTGGTGCGATGGACGGAATCTGCAGGCAGCTTCTTCATCCCCAGCCGCACCACGCACACGCGCTTCTTCCCCAAGAAGCACTCGTTTGCGTATTCCTATCTCACCGTCGGTATCCCCGTCGGTTTGCGCGCCGAGATCAATGGCATCCTTTCCATCGATCCGCCCTCGGAGAGAGCCGTCCGCGGCTGGTGGACGCGGCTCAAGTCGCCGCTGTACGAGGTGGATGGCGCCAGCCACTTGGCCCGCGGACGCGATGAGGGCGGTCTACGCGAGAAGCTCAACAAGTTTCTCGTCAGTCAGTCCGTCGATCCGAGTGACTACCAACATGCCTTTTTGGTCACGGCGCCCAAGTTTTTGGGATATAGCTTCAATCCTGTGTCGTTTTGGTACCTTTACTCGCCGGACAAGGTCTTGTCCGCCATGATCCTCGAGGTTAACAACACATTCGATGAGCGGCGGCCCTATCTCGTCTTTCGCGATTTCGACCAAGAGACAAAACACATCCAGTCGCTTGATCCCAGGCCTTCCACGGACAACACCGCATCCAGATTCTCGGCGTCTTTTGAAAAGGACTTCCACGTGTCTCCCTTCAACTCCCGCAAAGGCTCCTACTCCGTGCTCGCCAAGGACCCTCTCGGCCCCGGCTTGGCCACTTTTCGCGGCTTGGACGTCACCATCAACCTCAGATCGTCCAAGGGTCATCCCAAGCTCGTTGCGCGCCTCGTACACCAGACCCCTGTTATTGACGTGGCCGAGATGACCGCACTGCAAAAAGTCTTTTTCATCGGCCGCTGGTTCTGGATCGGCTTCGCCACCTTTCCGCGCATTGTCAAGGAGGCCGCAATTCTCTTCCTCCGCCGCAGCCTACATGTCTGGTTCCGCCCGGAGCCGCTCCCGCAGAGTCTCGGCCGGCACGCCACTACCACCGAGCGCCGTCTTGAGGCCGTCTTCTGTGACTACCTACGCTACCGCGTCGAGCAATCGCCCGAGTCCCTTCGCGTCTGCTACATTCCCAGTGGCATCTCCGCATCCACCACTGAATACGTCTTTGCCTCGAAAGCAGCCGCCACAGCGACGACGACATCGCCGACCTGCGACGTCGAGATTCGCGTGCTCACACCCGTCTTTTACGCCCGCTTCGTCCACTACGCGCACGATTTTGAGGGCCTCTTCAACGAGCTCGCCGAGAGCTGCACCGTTGCCGTCGACAAACCCGACATGTTGCCGCACATCTTTTTGAAAAAGGGTGCCCTGCCGCTTCGCGCGTCCGGCCTCGCCGAGTACGCCGCTTTCAGGTTGATACAGGCTCTCCGCCGCACGCCGGAGCCGATTCGCCGGCCCATGACGTCCGCAGAGGACAGTCTGGGAGGGCAGGCCTCGACGCGCAAGCCGGTCGACATTCGCGGCTTCCGCATCTCCCCCATGGACGCGTATGTGTTGGAACACGGCAGCGACAGCCTCAAGAGCATGTATCGGTCCACCGTGTCCCGTCTGTTCCTAGCGGATCGATTTTTCCTTGGCAGCTTGGGACTACTGTCTGCTGTGGAATTCATGTGCCGTGCTGGCTTCGCATACCTCCTCGTGTCAGCTTTTTATCATTGATGGTCAATCGACATTTTTGACATGTCGCTCCAGATTCCGTCCCTCGAAGCTAGCAATCCTTAGATACTACACGGTCATGCATTCTTTCATGGAGACATCAGATTGCATTGATTGTGTTCAGTATGGTACATTAGAACCGTAGTATGGATTTCGCGAATTCAAAGCAGACGCAGTATTCCTTGCAGATCGCCACCCCTCGACGATGTAGCCGCGCAGTCCTAGCTCTTGATTCGAAATCCCAGAAGCTGCAAGTGTTATAGATGAAAGGAAACAACAATTAAAGAAGCAAGCCGCCGATTTCAAAAGATGAAATAGTAAACAGACCCGAGACCCGTGCAGCACTACCTGGCGTACGGGTGGAAACCTCGGCTGCTGCCACGGCTACCACCGCGATAGCTGCCGCTGCCGCCGCCGCCGCCACCGCGGCCGGGGTTCTTGGGTCCCGTGGGTGCGTTGGCCGGGGGAGCATCGTGGCTGCCTCGGCCATAGCCGCCAGGTTGGGGTTCATCATACATGCCCTCCCAGGACGTCGCATTGCCGCCTTGCTGACCGCCGCCCATGCCGCCGTAGCCTCCTTGACCACCGCCAAAGCCGCCACGACCGCCTCGGCGAGCACCCCCCGGGCCCTGCGGAGGTTGTTGTTGGAACTGGTCGAAGCTGTTGTTCTCAAAGCCGCCTTGCGAGCCGCCACCGCCGTTACCCTGGCTCGTAGGGCTAGCACCGCCTTGCTGCTGCTGTTGCTGTTGCATCATCTGCTGCTGCATCTGCTGCATCATTTGAGGGTTCATGTTGCCCATCATGTTGGAGCCACCCTGGCCACCACCGCCACGGCCCATCATCTGTTGCATTTGTTGCATCTGCATCATGTTCTGCCACATGGCCGGGTTCATGTTCATACCACGGTTCATGGCCATCTGCGACTGCATCATGGCAAAGTACTGCTGCATACGCTGGAAGTATTGCGCCATGACTTGAGGGGTCATGCCGCTATTACCCATTTGCTGCATGCCCTGCCCTTGGTCATCTACCTTTTTGAATTTGCCGCGCTTCGCCGCCTCTTCTTCTTCACGCAAGTTGCCGCGGGGCTGTGCACGCTTCACCTCAATAGGCTTGCCGTGTATTTCGAGAGGGATGCTGATGCAATTGTCGACACCAGCCTCACTTTCAAACGTAACAAAACCGAAGCCTCTCGGTCGTCCAGTGTCCTTATCCATCATCAGAGTGGCATCGATGACACGGCCGAATTGCGCGAAGAAGTCTCTAAATTCTTGGTCTGTCGTGTCTTGACTGACACCACCGACAAAAATCTTGCTCGTTTTTTCTTGTTCATCGCGAGGGATAGCCCGCTTGGGATCAATCTAAATGATGGGTTAGGGTATTGTGCATCAACTATGTTATAGCTGTACTCACGATTTTGCCATCCAGATAATGCTCCTTGACCATGACGATGTTAACAGTCTTGGCATCCTTGAATGTGAGGAAACCAAATCCTCTGGATCTGCCTGTGTTGCTGTCGCGCATGACGGTGCATTCAACGACTTCACCAAATTGAGAAAAGTAGTCTCGCAGGGATTCTGAATCATGTCAGTGGTGGCTCTCGGTCGTTCGTGTAAAAACACTGCGGAACTTACGATCTGTGGTTTCCCAGTTTAGACCGCCAATAAACATTTTACTAGGTTACACATGTTAGTAAATAGCTGCCTTAGCAAAGCATGCCGTCTGGCTGTGTTTTCGTGACGCGAAAGCAATTTCCCCAGATTTGGAAGTCAAGGCGGAGTGAGCGTGGAGGCAGATTCGCTGGGTGGAAGTGGGTATTGAACGGTGCTGGTGGCTGGTCTGTCTGAACTGATAAATGATGCCAAATATCAATATATACCAGAGAAATCATGGATTGGTGAGTAAAGGTGCTTATGCAGGGCATATGATGCTTTCGTGCAGTTTTGCGTGCTCGTTGTCATACTCAAGGTTGCAGCCAGATGTCAGTATGCGCTGGCAATAACCAGCGCCAACCAAGTAGACGAGTAGGGAGACATGAAAGCCAGATGGCTCATAACACGACCATCAAATAGAAGCAAAACGCTTTCAGAGCAGAAATTGTCGAGAATCGTTTTTCTTTTCTTTTCTGTTTCTGAGCTGTTCTTTCGCCTTTTGCTATCGTTGACTGTCTGCTTGTCTGTCTTTTTCTAGGCTCATATGTAACTGGAGCGCTACTCGCCATACTCTGGTTACAGTCTCTTGAGAGCTGCAAGCTATTTTCTTCGAACTCTATCAGATGTCTGCGTCTGAGAGCTATGATAGACACGAGTGTCCTATGCTGTCTATGCCGAAACAGTCAAGTCTTTGCATCTTCCACGAAACCCAGGCTCCGCTTCGAAGCATAAGAGACTGTGATTCCTTTCATTCGGCGCATATGTAGTAGCGACCGTAGCAACTATTTGCATGCATTGGCTGGCTGAACCAAGCTCATCATAGCGCACCAATGCCCAATTCGATGACACTGTCTTTTTGGACAATGAAATGATATGCTATCCAAGATTCGAAGAAAAAGGCAGGACAGCAACTGCGGCCAGCACACTTCGCGACCTATTGCCGGAGTCCAGGGAGAGGAAAGGGGATGGCAGACTGACTTCACAGAAATGCAAATTTGAACGCTAAAGGGTTACAAAGGCAGTAGTAAACTCACCCATCATCTTTGGCACTGGCCTTGTGCACCGTGCCCAGTGGAGGCGCTGTAAACTCAGGCTCTTCTTCTGACTGTGTAGGAGCGTGGTTGTTTGATGCGGGAGCGCCACCGCCACCGCCGAGATTGAAATCGACATCGTCTTCGTCGTCATCGTCATCACCTTGATCCATGGCGTTGCCGCTTTGGTTGTTTGCTGGCTCGGCCGAGGCAGGCTGCGCGGCTGGTGCGCTGGGAGCAGCAGGCTCGGCAGTTTTGGGAGGCTGTGGGCCAGTTGCACCTTTGGGAGCGTCGCCGTCCTCGTAGCTGAACAGTAGTTAGTTTTTATGAAGAAGATTGGGCTATTCCGCGACTGGCGACATATCAACATACAGGTCTGCAAAGAGATCCTCCTCAAAATTCTCTGATTCAGCCATGCTTTGTCGAGGAGGGACGATATCGGATTCTATGAGGAGATGTCGAATCTAGGACCAGATTTAAGAGATGAAGGCAGATGGTGCTGTTTTGACTATCAGGAAGATGCAGCTAATATCAATTCTCCAAGCTCGATGGTAAAGTAACTCGTTGCAAAGGCGAGAAGGAGGAATAGTGAAAACTGGGGGGCTGTCTCTTTGAAGAGGGAAAGCGTAGCAGCCACAAGCGGCCATTCACAGTGGAGCGTGAATGACTAAGCTTTGGCGTAAATATGTGAGGTGCGACGACAGGCGCTGCATTACCTATAAATTAGGTACCTAGATAGCTGGAGGTGGCCCTAAAAGACCGCCTAATTAGAAGGGGTGGAATTGCTAGCGCGCCATTGTGACACTCGCTGTATCCTAACGGAGTGACCTGGCAGACCGCATCAGACCTCACACTGCTTCAACACGAGCGCCTGGCAAATCCTTCCGGCCGTCAACCGATACACAGGATGAAGCGCAGGCCCAAATACCTGCAATCGTATTCGTGAATCATGTGGTCATCTTCCGGGAGCGGCAAGAAGCCCGCGAATGCAGTAAGTTGCTGCTCTTTGCGCCCCCCGCGCCCAGATGCTCGTTGCTTCACGCCACTGACAACCCCGCTGTCGCAGGAGATGGTCCAAGTTGGTACGTTCGTTCCGAAGCTATCGTTGACATCGAGTCTGCTATGAATAGGCCGTTGCAATCGAATATTTGCTAATAGAAGCGTTTCTGTCTCTGCAGATCGATCAGAGTATGCTCTGTCGCCCCGCTTGCTGCCCGCCTTTTGAAACTGCTCGGCTGACCTGCTGACAGCTCCTCATCACCATTCTGGCGACCACAACTCGAACGAAATACTTCTAGACGAAGTGTGACGGCTCCGGCGTCTCGCGACCCCAATACTGTTATTGGAGCGGCGTATTCGCATGCCGACATAGTGAAGTTTGATGCCCTGTATGTGTATCGCCATGCTGGCGCAATACCGCTGTCCTGCGCTATCAAATGCTAACGAGCAACATAGCAATACCTCCAACTCCTCCTCTCGACCTAAGACGCCCCCCTCGGCTTCAGCGTCAAAGACACGCCCCGCTGATGCCTCTCCGTCCCAGAAGAACAATGCTGGTCGCAAATCGCCACCCTTCAAGAGCTACATCAACTTCCTCTCCAACACAAACGACGACTGGAATGCCGAAGAAGATGAGATGGGATATGACGATGATGATGGCGATGACTTTGGTTTACCCAGTCTTTCCAATATGAAACGAAGAAGTCGGAAGATGGCAGCTCAACAACAAAGCAGCATCGCCCCGCCACCGAGCTCCTTTAGCAATTCATCTGGAAGCTATGGACGACATCCGTCCGACAGTGCAGATATTGCTGTTGAAAGACCTGCGTCTTCGTATCCAATGCCACGGAAGAGTGAGGGAAAGATTCTCAGGCCGCAATATAAAGACATCCTCAAAGGTACATTGTGTCCCAGGCCCCTCACGTTGCGAGAGACTAATCGATTGCATCAGATCCTGCCAACGCATTACATCTAATTAACTACCCATCTGTCCCTAATAATTCCACGCCAAAGGAAGCGGATATAATCAACTCTCGCATCACCCGAATAAACAAGTTCAAAAGACTGCTTCAGGCAACTTCGCTGTCGTTACCTGACCTTAGGGCGCTCGCCTGGTCAGGAGTGCCCGAAGAAGTGCGCGCTATGACATGGCAGCTTTTACTAAGCTACCTGCCAACAAACAGCGAACGCCGAGTCGCAACGCTTGAACGGAAACGCAAGGAGTACCTAGACGGAGTGAAGCAGGCCTTTGAGCGAGTCGGAGCAAATAGCACGCCGGGGAAATCGCGTGGTCTGGACGAGACCATCTGGCACCAAATCAGCATCGATGTACCCCGTACGAACCCACATATCGAGCTGTATAGTTATGAGGCGACACAGCGTTCTCTGGAGCGAATACTCTACGTCTGGGCCGTGCGGCACCCTGCGAGTGGATATGTTCAAGGAATCAACGACCTGGTCACGCCGTTCTGGCAAACCTTTCTGGGACTTTATATCGCCGATCCAAATGTTGACTCTGGCATGGACCCCGGACAACTACCAAGGCCGGTACTGGACGCTGTGGAGGCGGACTCGTACTGGTGTTTGGCAAAGCTCTTGGATGGTATCCAGGACCACTATATCGTCGCACAGCCAGGCATTCAGCGTCAAGTGACTGCTCTGCGTGACCTCACCGCAAGAATCGACTCTACACTGTCCAGACATTTCGAAAGAGAAGGCGTGGAGTTTATCCAGTTTAGCTTTAGATGGATGAACTGTCTCTTGATGCGAGAAATCAGTGTCAAGAACACAATTCGCATGTGGGATACCTATTTAGTAAGTTGCTTTCTACTACGACCCAGCCAACAACTCTGGGTATTATTGTACGCGACTGACAGTCATGTTACAGGCGGAAGAACAGGGCTTCTCCGAATTCCACCTATATGTCTGTGCTGCACTTTTGGTCAAGTGGTCTGACAAGCTAGTCAAGATGGACTTTCAGGAGATTATGATGTTCCTTCAGAGTTTGCCAACTAAGAACTGGACAGAAAAGGACATTGAGCTGCTCCTCAGCGAAGCCTACATTTGGCAGAGCCTCTACAAGGGGTCGGCGGCACACCTGAAGGGCGGGCCGACGAAGCCATTACTGTCGGACCTGCAACTTTAGGCCATACCTGACTCGGCGTTGGATGTAAACGTAATATACGTTGGTATATAATGCAAAGCGTTAATGACTTGTGATTGAACAAGATTCCGCATGGAAGGGCATTTAATTTAGAGAATAATAGATGCGGCGAAACATGAATCTTGATGATGTAATAAAATAATAAGTTGTCGAAGGCGATACAAATGACAAGTGACAATATTGCTCATTGGTGATGGACCATCCAGTACGATAAAAAGAGGCTTTGTCTATGACTGGGGAAAGAAGATTGCTGAATAACTCAAAACACTATTCCACCTTGACTCCCCCCAAATATGCCAAAAATGGACAAAATGTACAATATGTGCCTCTGGCTTGTGTGTGTGCGCAGCATCGGGATATCTCAAAACGACAATAAAAAAACAGCACACCAATCTGAAAACAGAACGCTAACATGGCACTAGTAACAACTTATACCATGATGTCATCGACATAGCCAAGCGTGTCGCGTTTCTCGTCGCAGACGCGCGCCCACTCAAGAAGAAGTCGCCAGACGTAGAGGCGCATGTCCTCTCTGCGGAGAACCTGTTCCGCCCACTTCTTGCCCTCCTCGGCAATGTACCGCGCCGCGGCGTCGCCGGGCCCGGTGCCGTCGGCAAAGAACTCGAGCGTGGGGTACAGGTCCTGCAGCGTATTGTCGAGGGGCACAAAGTGCACCCAGGGCGCGAGGCGGTCGTCGTGCCACTCGGCGTAGACGCTGGCCTTGAGCGGCAGGCTCGTGGACAGCAAGAAGGAGCGGAAGCGGGCGCTAAACGAGTTGCCGTCGACGTCGAGCAGAAACTTGAAGGCGTACTGGTGCTTCATGTCAATGGGGGGCGATTCGCGCAAAAAGGGCCGCAAGAAGTCGCAGCCGTCGGGCCAGCAGAGCGAGGTGAAGCCGACGTCGGCGAGGTGCGAGAGCCAGGCGCCGAGCTGGCCCTGGGCGCGGCGCTGGCTGTTTGGGTAGAGGTCGGCGGGCGGCAGGTCAAAGGCGAGGGCGCGCTCGCCGGTCTGCTCGACGCGGGAGACGGTGGTGCCGTTGAGCATCTCGACGAGGCGGTGGCGGTGCAGGTGGTACCAGTTGTTGTCGTGCGCGCGGCCGCCCGAGTCGACGCCGCGCCACACCAGGCCGTCGCGCTTCTGGTCCCAGTCCGGGCCGTGGGTGCCGCCGCCAGAGTACCGCACCTCGTCGGTCAGGTACATGGCGCCGGGTATGACAATCTCGTTGTTCAGGGGCAGCTTGCAGCCCCCAAACAGGGGGATGAGCTCCTCGGTCGACGAGATGCTGATGGGCTCGACAAAGGACCCGTGGAGCTGGCGCAGATGGGGCTGCTCGCATGGATCAATGGCGGCAGTCCAGTTCTGCACGTAGCCCTTGAACGAGTACGCGGGCTTGTAGTTGTCGGGCACTTCGGCTGCCGGAGTGTAGTCGCGAATCGCAGCAACGCCATGCGCAGGCGTTCCCGGGGCACAAGCCTTGACGGCCAGATCCCAGTACGCATTGTCGGGCCCGTGCCAGTGAGGCTCATACCTTTGGGGCTTGGACTCGTCAATGTGCCTGAGTCCGGTATAATTGGTCGTCACTTCCGCGACCGGTTGTACTTTGCGCTTTTGCGATTCTTCAAGGAGAAGAGCATCGATTTCTTCGTGCGGCACGATGATCCGAGGCTCATCCATCATATTTACGGGCATGTCCACATCAGGCATGTGTTGGGCGAATTCTCCAACCAATTCGGCCCATTTCTGCAGCCAAGGCACACGATCCTCGTCAAGGCCCTGTAGGATGACTTTGCCGTCACGCACCTTGACGACGAACTCGCTTGCCGCCGCTCGCTGAGCCAGCGTCGTGGCGTCGAGACCCCAAAACGGGCGAATGTCCTTGTATATCCTGTCAAAATATTCCTCAATCATGATGGCGTCGGCGGCGACGGCAGCCTCGACCCATTTGTCGAAACCCGGGGGCGGATGTCGCCCACGCAGCTGCCGATAGCGTGCGGCGGTTGTCTGGACATCATATGTGCGTTTCGTTTCGAGGGCGCGCTCATGTAGGTCTCGGGCGTCAATCATGAGTTTCTTGATTGGGTGCGTGGGGTTAAAGGCAATGGGCAAATGACCTTTTGGCCTGCTGTCCCACATCCGAGAGTCGTGCCACAACATGTAGGCAGCGCAGCAAAAGGCGAGCGTGAAGAATCCGGCAAAGATTCGAAAACCCATGCGGGACGGGTAGACTTTGGGAGTCAAGAGCTGCCCCATGGTGGCGAGCATCGGGGGGGAAGAAGGACTTGCGTTTGGAACAGACAAGAGGCCAAGACGTCGTTGTAAAGTAAATGCTAGAAAAAGAAGAGATGGTTGAGCGTATGTCGACTTGCTAGATAAATAACGAGTGTCGAAGAAGTAGGCAAAGGGCGTCGTTGGCGACCGGAGAAGTTTCAAGCTGGCATCGAATACTTGGGATGAATGAATGAATGAATGAATGAATACGTGCTTTGCGCTTATACGACAAGAAACAGCTGCAATGGACAAGAAACGGGGAGTCCGAGTAGATTGATATGTATGAAAATCTTTGCTTTTCAGGAACCACAACGCAAAGGTCAGAAAAGTCACGTCACGTAATACACGGCAGCACGCAGCCACTGGGGGGGGGAGGATATCTATTAATGAACAAGGGGGGGGATTATCCGATGGGGTCGACACAGCCGATCTTTGTTTGCTCTTCAACGTCCCCAGTAGTTGCGCAATTTGCTGGCTTGGCAGGATTGGCATTGTCAAGAAGAAGGGTTGATAAGAAAAGACTATTTTGGGGATATCACGACGGAAAGGAGAGAGGACAAGGAGAGTAAAGAGATGAACAAGAAACATATTGATGAGGATATCTAGAATGGCACCAGGAATAAGAGAAGCAAAAGACTGTATTTTTTGCTCCTTTCTTTTTTTTTTTTTTTTTTTCAGCCGCAGGCTGCCAGGGCGCCGCTGGCTTGCCTGATGCCTGAGTTGCCGCCTGTGCCTCGAGTACGTAGAAATGTATGGGATTCTTTTGGTGGTGACTTGCTCCGAAATACCTTATCTAAACCCACTCACTCACTGTATTGAATCCTTTGCGAGTAAAAAGCTTGCGTGGCGCAACGTGTAAGCCTTTTTACTAATGCCATCAGGCTGTGATGGCGCTGCTTGGCCGCAAAAGTACCGTTACATTGGGGCTAGGTACAGTTAGAAGCCCTCCAACTAATGTACATGCTCGTACAAGTTTCATCAAAATGGTTCATATCTAGGCCGAGTGTTTCGATATTATAGATGGTATTGAAAATTCAATGCTCCAGACTGGCCACAAAACACAACTGTTTTTTGCAGTTTGTGAGTTGTCCTTGCAAATAGCCGCGATAACTGAACCTTACGCTCAAAGAATGGCGCCACATCTTTGTAGCGCCTATACCCCCTTATATATTAACAATAACCAAGCTAATCCCTGTAACCCCTGGGCCCAAAAAAAGTTGTTGTAACCCTGACCCTGAAAGGTGTTCCCTCAGCACAGACCTCGCTCGCGACACGACTTTTCCCCGAACTCGCGTCCCGAGATCTTGCCGAGTTCCGATGCATCCCGCGATGGGAATATGAGACCAAGTATCTGAAACCGCCCCGTGCATCACTCGCTTCATTTTGAATATACAACACACTCTCTATTCAGAAGCGTTACCTCGTCATGTGTCATTACTATTGCCTGGTTTGTCAAGTGCCCCTGACTTGAACAGCAAGTCTGCGTCGCGCACTCAGCAAGTGCCGCGATTTCAACAGACCGTGGAGAGACGCAAGTTCTCGAAACGATGGCTTTGAGATGATTGGATGACTGGTCAAAGGGTCATGACCTTTGCCCCTCAGAGCTCTAGCATCGGCCAACTTGCTCGAAACTCGCCAAGAATGAATATTCCGGCACATGAAACGTGTTTCAGAAGAGAGTACGAAGCAGTGAACTCTCCAGTAGAGATGACTACGCTGCAAAAAAAAAAAATAGATGCAGACTCTTCTTCTCCGAATAAGTAATAGAGCTTTGGCCATGGGAATGTGCTGGTTTCATTCATTGCCGGGTATGCATTGCCAGTCAGTAATTGCAGCGACTGCACCCAAAAGACCAGTGGAACGAACAGCTAAAATCCCCAAAATATCTAGCTGTGCTATTACTGCACTAAGATCATATAGTTCTTCGAGGAAGATCGTGTTCGTTCCATCTCTTCTGGCGTACTGTACACTTTAGCGACCTGTTCTGGTGAATGCACTTGGGCGTCGAAAGAAGAAATGCTGGCATGCATTCAGTTGATAGGACAAGCAACTTGGCATTGTGCAGTTGCGCCTTCATCGTTCCTGTACCATTTCCCGACGTCGAAAGAAGCTAGCGAGATTCGAGCCGCTGGCGTCTCCTACTTGACTAGTGTCCGTCTCAAGCTTCAATGTCAATGACAGGCAAACTTGTTCAACACAAGTTAGTACAGAACCTTTTTTTTTTAGCTTGTGGAGAAAACACAAAGTTGCGACGGGAGGTTATGTCACAAGCACGGGCTAATAACCAACTAGTTCGTTTAACAACAACTATCGTCTTGTTCGGCCCTCAAAGCACCCAGTTTTAATGAATCTATTGGCAAATCGCTGACTGGTTACGTCTATGCTCGGAGACTTGACTCCTCGGAACGGGCTTGGCAGTGGGCACAAGAACTTAACCACCAAGCACTAGGAGCACCGATGTCGCTATATAAGTGAGCTAGTCTGCTTATCTGATCCGCCTTTGTTGTTAATTGTCAAACGATAGACCGCCTTCAATGGATACCAAGTCTCCATCTGAATTCAAGTCCTGCCTCATCTCGAGTTAGCTCAAAACAGAAAAGGTCAACTGCCGATCTGTCGCGCTCTCTTCCCCGTCGCAAATACCAATTGTTCGCGGCTTTAGCGCGGAAGCCGAACGTTCCCCTGCTGTGAAAATGCTTTCCTTTCAGATGACTTCCGTCACCCAATATCTATCTACTCGGAGACTTTGGCTCTGCTTCACCTTGTTGCCGTACCGAGTTTTCACATATCCGAGACCAAGTATTGGTGCATATATAAGAGCGCGGGGTCGTTGGCTGTTGAGAGATTGACACGTATCGGCACCTCGCTTTGGATCATCACGCAGTCATGACACTTTTGCGCAGATTCCGCAACGTCGTCGGGACAAAGGCCGACGTCGAGACTGAGAACCCAAACGTCGTTGGCTCGCCGGCTGAGAAGGACGCAGCACACTTCGCCGATGAAACTATTCTAAAAGATGAAGAGAAGCCGAGTGAAGACGCTCAGAATGGTGTTGAAAAGATTGAGGCCGTGACTTTGGCTTGGAGCCGAAGCTCCCTCTATTTGGTCTTGATTCTGTATGTGTATCCCTCAAGTGTCCCTCTCTCTCGAGCCGTCTCTTTAGCCAGAGGACCACGGCGCTGTGCCCACGCCGACAAACTGACAAACTTGCTTCCTGATAGTATATGGTTTCTGACCCTGGCCAACAACTTGAAGAGTGTCACCATCAACGCATTGACGCCCTTTGCGACTAGCTCCTTTGCGGCCTCGTCGCTTCTCACAGTCATCCAGATTGTAGCCGGTAGCTTGGGAAGCGCCGTCTACATTCCCATGGCGAAAGCGCTCGATCTCTGGGGCCGCGCAGAAGGCTTCCTCCTCATGATGTCCCTGGCCGTCCTGGGCATCATTGTCGTGGCGTCGTCGCAGAACCTGCCCACGTACTGCGCGGGCTACGTCTTTTACGCCGTCGGCTTCAACGGCCTCGCCTACAGCTGGGATGTGCTGGCGGCCGACGTGACGGACCTGCGGAACCGAGGGCTGGCCTTTGCATTCACCTCGTCGCCCGCCCTCATCTCGGCCTTTGCGGGCCCCAACATTGCCGCCGAGTTCATCGCAAAGGTCAACTGGCGATGGGGATACGGCTGCTGGGCTGTTGTCGTGCCCGTGTTTGCCCTGCCAATCTATCTTTTGCTCGCCTGGAACCTGCGGAAAGCGAAGAAGCAAGGCATCATTGCAGACAAAGGGACCGGTCGAAAGATGGACCGACAGAATGTATTATGGTTCATTACCGAGTTTGACTGTGAGACAAACTCTTTCGAGAAAATGGCATTACACCGTGCTAATATGTACTCAATTTCTAGTGCCTGGCGTTTTCCTCTTCGCCGGCGGTCTCGTTGTCTTTCTTCTCCCCTTTACCCTAGCTCGTACCGCTCCTCAGGGCTGGTCCACCCCCTACATTATCGCCATGATCGTTGTCGGCTTCGTTGTTCTGGCCATGTTTGCGCTCTGGGAGTGCTACGCCGCGCCGGTCCCATTCATGAGCCAAAAGTTTCTCGCCGACCGCACCATCCTCGGCGCTTGCCTGCTCAACATGACCTACCAAATCTCCTATTACTGCTACGCCAGCTACTTGCAGCCCTTCTTGATGGTGGTGTACAACGTCGACTTGCAGACCGCAGGCTACGTCGCCAACACTTTCAGCGCGTGCGCTTTCCTCTTTCTATTTGTCACTGGTTGGCTCGTTCGCTGGACTGGCCGTTTCAAGTGGATTCTTTGGATCTGTGTCCCCCTTTACATCTTTGGTCTGGGCCTCATGATTCACTTTCGCCAGCCCGGAGGCTACATTGGCTACATTGTCATGTGCGAAGTCTTCTTCTCTGCTGCTGGCAGTGTCTTTATTCTCTGCTGCCAACTTGCCGTGCTCTCCGTCGTGGACCACCAGCACGTTGCCTCGGCCTTCTCCTTGCTCTTCTCCATGGGTGGCATCGGTGGCGCCCTGGGTAGCGCCATCTCCGGCGCCATCTGGACCAACACGTTTTACCCGCAGCTGGAGCAAAACTTGCCGGCGTCCGACTTGCCCAACCTCCTGACCATCTACTCGACTTACACTGCTCAGATTGCATATCCGTGGGGTAGTCCCACGCGCGATGCCATTGTCAAGTCGTATGGCTACGCCCAAACTAGGATGCTGGCCGCGGGTACAGCATTCATGGTCCTAGGTTTCATTTGGGTGGGAATGATCAAGAACATCAACGTGAAAAAGATGAGTCAAACAAAGGGCAATGTGCTTTAGAGCACTTACTACCTGTCCCGCCATGTTGAGCTCGCTTCCACAATGTACCCAAAGCGTACACAATAGTTGCACCCAGAACTTGGCAAAAGAAAACGGTGAAGAGGAGAATAAATGAAAAGGTTTATTTGTCAGAGAATTTTCTATTGAGTCATGCTAATCAGAAACTTCATAATGCCTCGTTGGAGCCCTACCACCGCGGCACTTCCGTGATCCTCGCCTGGAAAGTGGCACGTCCAAATATCCTTGACGCTTGGACAGTCTTGTAAGCGAGCCACCAGCGAAGCTGCGCTCTCTTTCATTTCTTTGCCTTCCGCCATGCTTTTCCGGCTCTCGAAAGATTCATCAGACTCGTCTGGTAATTTCACTAGCTCATCCTCGGGATCCCCCCACGTAATGAGCAGAGAGGGCGCCGGCTCTACCGGGTCCCTGCGACGATGAAGCTCGGCTTCTTGATTCTTGACCAAGGCGTAGTCGCTCCACCAGATTGTCGGGCTCGCGGCAATGTAAAAGTCGAATAGTGTTGGTCTGGTAAACAGGGCATGTAGAGAAAAGATGCCGCCATACGAGTGACCGAATAGAGCCTTGCGTCCGCTTTGTAGCGATACATGGGGGAAAAGCGTTTCCTCCACACACGTCATGACATGGTTCTGAATCAAGTTCAGAAATTTGTCGCCATCTCCAAAGCTCAGATCCGTTCTCGGTTTCCCATCTCGTCCAAGTGGCATGTCATAGTGGCCATCAGGGGTGGGCGGAGTGAGATCAGGTCCTCTCCGAAAGTCGTAGACGCAGTTTGACTTGGGATAGCCGACAGCCACAACCACGTTTCTCACATTGTTGGTGAATTCCAGGCGCCGTGTAATGTCCACCGCCGTAGAGAAAAAGACATTGCCATCCACGAGATAACTGAAGTCGCAAACAGATGCGGGTTAGGTGCATGATAATTTGACAGGTACACACGTAGAGTCCACTTACAACGTAGAAATTGGCCCATGGTCGTCTTCCGGCCGCACGCGATCTTCGCCCCAGCACAAGGGCCACGCCACCTGTACCAGAAAGTCGCCTCGTTCCGTCTCCGCGGTATATTCACAGGTGTTTTGGAGGTATCCCTGTCTGAGATTCGTCACATTTGGCTCCATGGCTGCAAAAACATGGCAAGTGATTGAAAAGAAGGAAATTCCCAGCCTCGCCGGTCCTACACTTTTGTCTCCCCACTGTAGTCTTAAAGATATGTCCTACTCAGCATTCTAGGTCAGAGCCGTGTGTGGCCGAGTGTGTCCGACATCGCAATGACTCGTAATCTTTCAGCCTTTCTCCAAGGATTGTTAGCGGACTGGATTGCTCACACTCCACAGTTAGTGGAAAGCGTCTAGCATTGAAGTGGAAATAGCGCCACTTATCAATCTGATAAGATGAAATTCGAGCCCATCACCACATTACCAAGCTTTCATGGCCGGAAATTTATTTGACGAACCGATGAAAAATAATATCTCTCCATTGCAGAAACTACGGATATTGTAGCATTCGGGTGATCTGGAACGAACTCTTGTCACTGGGTCTTCTTGGCTCATCTTCGAGGCTTCTCTATTCCCGCCAGGCTTACTAGTCTTGTCGTCTAACGGAGTACCGCACTCTGTCATGCTCACTTCCCGGTGGAGATACTGGGTGCGCGGCCGCGGGAGATGACATTGCGAGCGATGGCCTGCAGGCATCGGATCCTGCTGCTGAAAGAGTAAACCAGCGCGCGAAATGCGCTATCAGAGCGCCTACTTCGAGACGACATTGAACAGGCGACGAAGCACAACCACATGATGGTCATTACTATCGCATCGCCTACGGATTATTGGTAGAACTAATGGCAATTTTTGATCGGAAATTGATCGTTGCGGTTCAGGGGTTTGCTAGTAGAGCTAGTGATGTATGGTGAAAGCTACCATGTCCATCGTTCACTGAGCCACGGATCCAAACAGAGTCTCCAATGTCGCACTCAACTGATATTTTGGTCGAGAAAGCCTCCGAGTAAGTTCTTGGCCATTTTCTGTGAGTAGTTGAGATCTCCGAGATTTCCTTGCACCAACTACTGGCGGATATCTGGATAAAATGAAGTCCCACCAAACCTCGCAGAAGAGACCAAAAGGCATCGCCATCACAGCAGACATCTGTAAGCTCTGTCTGCTGCAGTTCTATCAGCGACAGCGCCTTTTCAGTTCAAGGTAATATTGTGGGTGTCTAGCCAATGGCATGCTCGCAAAGATTAATTCTCCTACCAAATGCCCCGCCCCTCCCCCAAGTTGGCTTACCTCACCCGGCTAAACCTCGCATTCGCCTCTTTCCACTCAGCCAATCATAACGTCGCCAATACCAAACCACAAGTCTCCATTGCAATCCCAGAGCGCATCTTTTGGCCTCAGTCCGCACAACCAGGCCAAGCTACTCTTTCGCCCTCTCTCTCCATTATATCCATCTCTGCCCTCAGCGTCGGCCTGCTCAAACCCGACTTCATCCTCACATCGTCTCTTTGGCATTCAATTGTTTAGAAAGACGTTTTTGCAAGGGCACTGCAAGCCTACTGAGTTCTCGTGTCGCCTTCGCGCCCCCGAAAGGCTTCCCCGGCCTTTTTCGCTCGTCGTCCGCCACAATGCTCGCTTCTACCCGCTCGGCGGCCGCCATGGCCCTGCGAGGTACGTTTTTACCGATCCTCTAGCCGTCAATGTTTTCTCTTGCTTTTGGTTGAGGGTCCGGGTCGCTAACGCAATGGATTAATGCAGCCAAACCCACGACCGCCATGGTTCCCTTTCGTGCCGCTGCCGCGCTTTCCACCAGCTCAAAACGAGACGCCACCTCTTTGACACCGCACAACGGCGCCACCGGCCTCCGCAAGATGCGCAAGGACGTTCCTCTCGGCAGTGAGGAGGGCACCAAGGGTGTCATTCAATACGCTCTGTACGTTGGTCTATTTATTTTACCGCGCTCACCAGGCCGCAGCCGCGGTCGATATCACCCCCCCCCCCCCCATTGTTCTCGCCACCCAGGCCGCGGCCCTGATGCAATCGTTGACAAAACATGACACTAACCACTGTTCTGTCCCCAACTACAGGACCTCGCTCGACGTCATTGCCAATTGGGCTCGCCAGTCCTCGCTCTGGCCCATGACCTTTGGTCTCGCCTGCTGCGCCGTCGAGATGATGCACCTCTCAACGCCCCGCTACGACCAAGATCGACTCGGCATCATCTTCCGCGCCTCCCCCCGCCAGTCCGACGTCATGATTGTTGCCGGCACCCTCACAAACAAGATGGCCCCGGCCCTGCGCCAGGTCTACGACCAAATGCCCGACCCCCGCTGGGTTGTCTCCATGGGCAGCTGCGCCAACGGCGGCGGCTACTACCATTACAGCTACTCGGTCGTCCGCGGCTGCGACCGCATCGTACCCGTCGACATATACGTCCCCGGGTGCCCCCCCACCTCCGAGGCTCTGATGTATGGCATCTTCCAGCTTCAGCGCAAGATGCGCAACACCAAGATTACCCGCATGTGGTATCGCAGGTAAATGGTCGCGCTGTAATGTCAATAAATATTCTGAAGAATGGATCAAAAATATACCTCTAGCTTATTCGAAGAGCAGAACATGGAGAATCAGTGGTGCGTGGAGGGCATGGGGTATGCGTCCGTGGGATGCACTCTTGAGCAAGATGCTGATCCTGCCTGTTTCAATGTGATTAGGTAGGGGCAGCATGTGTATTTAGAAATGTTGCTTGCGTTGCTTGCGCCAACGACAGTGGCCCTTTTGCATTTGATTATTCGTTTTCTTTGTACAAGTGGTGGGGAATCGGCTTCCCTGATTTCAGTGTCTACACCAAAATTTTATTTCTATGTACTGGTAGAACCTGGCAGAACAACCTGGCAGAACAACCTGCCAAATATACCGTACAATTTCCCACAAGCTGTGCACTCCACATTGCATTGATAGTCACATGCATTGAACAGTCGGACTGCAGAAAGAAATCGAACAATGCAAGAGAATAAAAAGCTCACAAAGGCCAAGTAACAGAGTGACTGTATATATATGCGAGGAACAATGCAACAAAAACGGCAAAGCAGTTGACAAATGTCCATCAAGAGCCCCTTTCGACAAGCAGGAAACCACAAATGCGCACTTTGACGATGCTGAACAATCAATCCTTCATCAGTATGTTTTGGCTTGTGCAATCTCGTATCTCACAAAATCAAAGGGTAAAGAAAAAAGGAACAAGGAATCCAGTATTCTATTGTCTCAAAAGCCAGCACAAGCTCCTTCTTGCTGTTCAAACCTCTGCGGGGAAAGTAATTCTGTCTGCGGTTGACGCTGGATCTCTTTTTCTGTCGCTCGTCTTTCTCAGCTTGATTCCGCTTTCTGAACAACCAGATGAGTAAACAAACGCTCTTCAAACAGGCATTGGTCCTTGGATTTTCCTCTCTTCTCACCCTTCGCTGGCAGCATCATGGCTGCCTCCATACTAGAACATTAACCGCCGGCGCCAAGCATAACATGGTCTCAAAGACCGTTTCAAGCCAATATGAACAGAAAAAAGGAAAGTAATGTACCCAAATGCAAGGCTCTGCGTGCGCAGAGAGCAGTCAAAGACAAATCGCCAAGGGGAGAGAAAAGGCTAGCAACCAGGAATAAAGTAGACAATCGAGGTTCGTGTGCTGGAACACACCAAATCGCTCCATTCTTGCTGAGCATAATCATGGTTTTTACTCTTGGCCAAAACCCATGGTCTCTTCGACAGCAATGGTCAATTTCTGCGTCAACGTCTCCATGTCCTTGTATGGGGGCAGATCAATACGGTTGAAACTATAAGTCGTTAACGAAGCTGTTTTACAGAGACTCGGTATTGAGCAAAGGAAAGAAAACATACCAGGTATGTGCCTTGGGCAAGTTGACAAGCTCGCCGGCCTTTTCGATGGTAAAACGGCGAGGACCGTCGCTACCTTGCAGATCCTTGAAACCATTGACGGGAATTCTCGAGGTTCCAGTTGTAAATTGTAGTAGACGTGACTTTTGCTCACCATCCCAGGATCGCACAGTCTTCCAAAAGTTCTGGATGACCTCGTCAGACTCGGTGTAGCCACGATAGTCGGTGTGCTTCTTCCAGTCGTCCACGTCAATCTCTGCAATACCGCCAATGAGCAGCTCCAGCTCACGTTCGTCGAAGACGTTGATGAGATCTATAGGAATAAGCTCGTGGAAGCCCTCCTTGAACGCCTGGAATTGCTCCGCAATACGTTTCTCGATGCGCCATTTAACCATGAGGTCAACGTACTGCTTCTTGTTCTCGTTGGTCACTTCGATGTTGCGACCATCAGGGATGAGATCCTCTGTGGTCAAGACGCCGAATCGCTCGTCCTCGGTGGAAAACGTCTGCTCCAGAATGCCGCCCGAAATATCGTTGTCGAGCATCCACTGCAGCGATCGATGGAAATCGGCGTCGACGCCCTCCATATCGGCTAATGAGACGGCTTTGCCCAGAACCATCTTGTACAAAGCTCCGATAAAGAATGCGTCGAGGAAACGTCTGTGGAAGATGGCCAAACCAACGACTCTGCCAATGAACTTGAAGTAGTTAAGATGTTCGGGGTTGATACCGGAGTGAGGGTTGATCTGCAGAGTATAATTGTCGTGGGCAGAATACTCGAAGAGGCAGTAGAAGGGGTTAAACATTTCGTGAGAGAGCAGGAAGAAGAATTCTCGCGAGACACCGCCATAATCGAGACCCTCTTCGCCGTCGAACTTGATCATGAGCCGCTTCTTCAGATCAGTCGCAGATTGGCGAGTAATTTCTGCAAAGGAATCTTCGAAGATGTGGGAGCGTCTAACTTTAACATGACATTGACCGCTGAGACTGCGCATAGCAGGCTGCGAGCGGAAGTAGATGAGCTTGCGTCTAAAGTCTCTCTTATATTGGGGAACGTTCTGGTCGAGCGAGGAGGGGAGACGCGGATCATCCCAGGTTGTAGTCTTGGTGTTATGATCCACAAAGTACACGCGAGCCGTGTTGGTGAGTCGCATCTCCCAGCCGCTGGGCAGAGGGCCTAGCTGAGATACAGGCTGCTGCTGAATCTGGCCATTGGCATTATTCTGGCCGCCGTAAAGTCGGATATATTGCTGGCGACGCGGATCGACCCAGGTAGTTGTGCGCGTGTTGTGGTCGACGAAATATGGGCGACCTTCGGGAGTCCATCGCTGCTCCCAAAGAGGCGGCAGCTCGCCAGTTCCGGGGCTCGTAGCGCCAGTGTGCATCATGGCAGCGGCGTTACTGGCCGCGGCAGCCGTATGTGGGGGCGGGGGACTGCTGCTTGGCGAGCCGGACTGCATGGTGGGCGAGCTGGTGCCGGTACGATCTTCCGGCAGGGTTCTGTTCTGATGTCGGGTTCGTTCGGCCTGGGTGGTTTCGTTGCGGCTCTCGCCGGTACCATTAGCAGTTGGGCGGTTCCAGCTTGTCGTTCTAGTGTTGTGGTCCACGTAGTATGTTCGGCCAAGGTTGTCTTCGCGTCGCTCCCAGCCCGCAGGCAGGCGGCCTTGAGCGTCCTCAAACGGGCTCAGTTGGCTTGTTGGTCGAGGTTGCTGGGCGCCCCCCTGTGAGGGAGCTGGCGTGGGACCGGCGCTGACAGGATGAGGAGGGCCTGAGTTGCTCGGAACACCAAGGCCGTTGCTATTGGTGGCAGACATGGAGGATCCGGGTCGATTCTCGGCGGCCGGAGCGGACAGAGTAGAAACATTGGAGGTACTGGCGTTTGCTGCTGGGCGACTGGAGGAGCCCTGTCCGTTGCGGATGGGAGCGTTTAAGTTACAAGAGAGGTTGATGATGAGTTTTCCGTGGACGACGAGATTATCGGTGGACTTTTTAAGGTCTCTCGTGATCATCTGGTCTGGTGTGTCCCAGTTTACAGTTTAGTCAGGGAAGAGTATCGGGGTTGGGCAAGGTAACGTACCATCTGCGTCGGGGCTGATGTCTGGCATCAAATCGCCGACGCGAATGTTGATGACGCCGAGGAAGCCCTGGTCCTTCTTTTTGAACTTCTTCTGGTCAAAGACCTGGACGGCAAGGATGCTGCCTTCATTTGCACGGCTGCGGATGTGTTAGAGTGTGTTGGAGCGATTCTGTCATGCTTATTGTGCGGCGAAAAGAAGGTGAAACAGGGAAAATCATGATGTGTAGAGGGGTAGGGGGCCGAATGGTTGTGGCATACAAATCGAAGCTCTCGTTCCAGTATGGGTTCAGCGTCCTCTTACTGACGCTGGTAGTTTTGGTCTGCTCACCATTGACGGTGGCGACGGCGAATGGATCGGGAAAGCCTGGGAGTGGTCAGCATTTTCGAGGTCATCGATACCAAGGCAGACGAGCGGCGGAGGGGTTCGTACGGAAAACATCGCGCTTGTAGAGGCCATCGGCGGCAATGACTGCGGAATTGTCAGCATCTGGTACACGTCTCGCAGGCATTTACAATGCGGAGCAGGGCACACTCGGGCGACTAACTGGTGACTCGAAGGTTCGGCTTGCTGCAGCGACGACGCGGTGGTTAGCAAGGACGTATCTCGAGATTAAGCAGAGTTGGTAGAGGTGAGGGCGCTCACCTTGGCAGGCCAGACTCGGCTCGGCTCGAACTCATGATTGTGCCGGTAGGCAGCGCACCAGGCACCGCAGGACCGAGCGTGGATGGAAATTGATCGTAGCAATAAGCCGCAATGCCGGAGCAAGAGGAGCGTCAAAGACTCGAGGGTAAAGCGAGAAGGCCTTGGGTTTTCCAAAAGCGGCCAACGCAGCAAGAGAAGACAGGAAAAGAGGATGAAGGTGACTGCGATGCAGATGACGAGCTGGAGAGCAAGTTGAGGCTGTGCAACGCCCGACAAGTAGCAGCGAGATGGCACAACAAGAGGTCTATCTTCCCCCGCTTCAAGTTGGCCTCTGGCTGGAGGGGACGTGGCTGACACTGACAGAACAGAAGCTACTTGGCTACAGCATCCTTGTACCTGTCACACTGGCGGTACTTGCTTGGAGGTCGAGGTAGGTACTTTGAGCAGGCTGGAGCTTGGTGATGGGTGGGTGAGACTGTAGCGGTGCAACAGCGCTGGCTCGAGGTAGTAAAAGGGCATTCTTCAGCGGGTTCAGGGGTAGAAGGAGTACTCAAGTATCGCTGTAGGTACCTTCGCTCGCAGTGGCAGAGCAAGGTTTGACGCCGGCACGTGATGCAGTGGGACGATTTGTACCAAAGGTAGGTATATCTTGACAGATATTCGTGTAGCCAACGATCTATAATGTAAGCATTACACTTATGTATTCACATGGAAACTATACATAAATAAATTCACTCCTCTTCAGTGCTCCTGAGAAACTGTCGCCCGCTCGTTTCCTGTCCTTGAAGCCTTGCAATGCCGCCGCCGCAACACCAGGCTACAAGCTTACAGCAGCCAACCACCAGTGGCTGCACCTGGCGAGCCTTAAAAGCGGGCAGCTCGAGTGAATAGCAAGCCTTCTGTTATCTTGTTATTGTAGTATCCGTACTAGTAGGCTTGAAAATTAACATTAAAAAATGATGAAATATAATGCTGCGCCATCGAGGAATACGTCGGGCGTAAAGGCGTCTTGTTTGTGGCTTCGAGCGGCTTCCACGACGTCCGCAATTCCAGACGCGGCCAATGACAATTATTCAGTAATTATCAATCAACAGAAACCTCTCATTATTCATCAACAACAGCTCAATGATTTTCTAGTCAGAAACCATCCATTTCCCTTGCCCAAGACTTGCCCTCTATGTAACGCTCAATGTAACACCCACCACACCTCCCACCTACGGCAGGCCTTCTCCGAACCATCGACACCTCCCCCCCGGCTAGCAAACCCGTGGTGCCTCTTGTTGCTCGCTTCCAATCCAGATGGCGCCGGGCACAATGCCCCTCTCCCAACCTCCTGACCCCAATCCTACCTTTTACGCCACGCCCCTATTTATAATCGCGGTTTCCTCGCCGAGCATTCTTCCTATGATAACACCATTGCCAGACTCTAATATATGGTACCAGTAAGTAGTGATACCTGCTCACATTCGGCGAAGCTTGCGTGCATGCGGGCTGGGCGACCGGCGTTGACGCATCCTCTCTGCCCTGATCCTGCAGCGCGCGTCGTACGCAACAAGCCGGCTCCCCCCGCTGGTTGTCCCCTCCCACCGGTCCCGACTATGAGATCTGCTGGCCTTGCTCTTGTTCGGGATTCACACGCGTACGCAATCCTTGGCCAAGCCCGTCCACCATCCGCCCCCCTTGGTTGCCTCTCAAGTTTACACCCGCATTGCTGCTATTTTCGTCTCGCGATGCGCCACGCCACAGTTGCGCACGCCTTCCTATTTAGCGGCTGGCATGTGTCGCGGTGTCTACAAGTAGTCGCCTTGTGCTCAGTAGTGTGGCGTAGGTCAAATGGTGACAAATGCCAATTATGAAACGAATTGTGCCTCTGCTTGCCCGTCATATTTTGATGGATTGTTGCTACAAAATACTCCCCCTACGCCTGCAGCAAACCTGCCTCATCCAAGAGATATCCATGAACAATACAAAATAATCGCATTACTAGCTATTATTGATATAAAAAAGCCTAAAACTCCAGTAAGAAACCGCCCGTTTCACTCTGTCGGTAGCAGCCCTGCAGTCGCCTTGCACAGTATAGATACTTGGGCTCTGGGATATCCATATTATTCTTCTCGATTTTCTTCGCACTCTCAGAATTCACCTTTTCATTGCCAAGCAAGTAAAGGGCACTCCAACAGACATCAGTAGGGCTGTTGTCGAATCCGGGACACTGACTTTGGCGGACAACATGAGCGGCCAACAAATGCACAAGTCCATCTTGCTCACATCGTAGCACTCATCCGTCGGGTTTCCTGTCTCACTCGGCCAAGGAACTGGGCATGCCATCTCCTTGCTCCTAGTAAGGCGTGAAACCCCGACCTCGGCCTCGGCCACCGCCTCGGTAGCCGCCTCGGGGAGGAAAGCCGCCGCGGCCGAACCCTCCCCTGCCGCCGCGGAAGCCGCCGCGACCGCGACCGCGACCCATGCCGGGCACGTTGGTGCGCTTCGGTGTCACCTTGATATTGCGGCCCTTGAAGACGCTTTCGTTAAGGACGAGGGCCTGTGCGACAAGGCTGGGCTCCGTGAACTCGACGTAGGCGTAGCTGCAACTTGATTAGCACAACAGAATCCAAGGGGAAAACAGAGGAGTAGAGGAGGCAAAGAAGAAACATGGCGAGTAAGAAAAGGGTTCGGCACATCCGGATAAAGCACTTACCCCTTGGGCTGGCCTGAAAACTTGTCAAGGAGAATCGTCACGCGGTTGATGGAGCCGCAGCTTTGGAAATGCGCCTGAATCTCTTCGGGCGACGCAGAGTAATCGACGTTGCCGACAAAGATACTGCGCGCGTCAACAGACTCCTTGTCGTCGGCGAGGCTGGCCGACTGCTGCTCCAGGCTGGCTTGCATCTCCCGGAGCTTTTTTGCCTCCTCTTCCATTTCCGCCACGCGACGCTTCATGGCTGAAATTTCTTCCTATTCGCAAAGAAAAAAAAACAACGAACCGCGTAAGCAAATCTAATCTCTTTTTTTCCCGCGGTTTGCGCACGACGACTATTCTTCGCAGCGAGGCCTGTATCTCACCTCCTCTGTTCCCGCCATTTCGCCTTCTTGCTCGTGATGGTCGGCCGGGACCGGATCCTCATTCTTGATGGTCTCCGACATGGTTGCTTTGCGAGCGGTAGTTCTGTTGCGTGGACGAGTAGAAAATATATCTCCTCTACGTAGAGTCTCGTCTTCTGCGAGTCATAAGCATGTGTTTTAGAAAAGAGCTGCGCCGCCGATGATGTGCTGTCGTGAATGCGACGCGCGCCGCTGGGGTTGCGGGAGGGAGTAGTACGATGAACGGGTGGTGGCAAACAATGGTCCCGCGGGCCCAGAGGTGGCCGTGGAAACGAAATCAAAACAAGGTGATGAAATCTTACTGTGATCCTCTGCTCTCGGGCACAACGGCAGGCGCTCCCTTGCCGGTCCAACCTTGGAGGAAAAAGGTGATGATGGATGTAAATCTGATCCGGAAGCACTCTGCAGCATCGTGAACCAGAAGGTGTGGGGAGCCGAAGTTTGGCCGGGCAATGAAATGATGTTAGATGATGCCGGCTCGAAAATCTTGTTGGTGCCTCTGGCAAGTTGAGCATTTTGAGCAATATCGGTATGCCGCATTTTATAAAGAATTTTCGTTTGAGTAACACGACTTTTTCATGTTACGTCGCAGCAGCGTTGCGCAGTCGTCACGACCCGTGTTCGACACGGGAAGCCCACCAGCCCATCGTGCAACATACACTGCTTAGATTCGGATAACGAGCGGCGTATTCGCCCCGAAGGTATCAATGAATATTAACAATGATAGTAGTGAAAGAAAAAGCATGTACAAGAATGTCATGTGTAGTTTTGTCGACCGTGTAAATAGATGGTAGGCACGCTGTGGTGCAGCTTCTTCTGACTGAGCGGCGTTGACAAAGCCAAGTTTACAGGCAGGTCCCGGAGTGGTGGGTTCATGATCGAAAAGATGGCAAAAAAAAAGTCAAAGTACATTTGCGTATGGAATTCGTCACAAGATTCGTTATCATAGGCCCTTTGACGAAAACAATATTCCCACGAGTTTGCATATATTCGACCAGTAGCGTTGTCTCGACTGTGTAAACTCGCCAGACGCCTGACTGCACGTTTGTCGAAGCTCAGCACCGTGACTGGCCTCTTTTCGTTCTGTCGGCTACCGACTTGAACACTGTCCTTTTGGCTTATTTGCATACTTCGACTCTCGGACCCCGTCCCCACTGATTGGAAAGGAGGAGGAAGAGCAGGCAAAGAAGATCTCGGCAACCACCCAGCGAGAGCATTGAGCCCCTGATTATGTTAGAGCCCTACCCAATATTTTATAAGTTGTCTGCAGGCGTGCGGGCTGTCGGCTCCAAAGACTCGACTGGCCGGACATCTCCAACAGCGGAGGCTGTCACTCACAGCACCTCCAGGTACTTCTCAGCAACAATGTGTGGCAGTTTGGTAACGATCTGATCTGAGTCACTTTCGGCCCCTGTACATGTGCCTATGCACGAGGACGGATACTGTGATGTAATGACCATCCACCATGGACAACACTTTTAATGCATTCCACGTACGAGAGATAGTATTGTTGTGTAATACGCACGGTAATTACATTTATTGATTGTCAATTCAGTCCCCTCCGTCACGTGGAGGTGCCAGACGCCTTCTACGTAGGTCGGTAAAGAGAGGCGGGGGATCAGGGCGGCCGGTGTCATCGACAAACAGATGCCGAGCTCCGTCAATAGGTAGCCTTCAATTGAGCGTCTTTCACACATTACATATTAACTTGTTGCATCTTGTTATCCCTGAGATTTCTGACGTTCAACGAATCCTCGCCAAATTCTTTCCTTCATAAATCCAAAGCTCAACAGCTCTGCCACTTTGCACTTCTTCAAGCAAACAGCTCCAGCAAGCATCGTCAACACCCCGCCGCTGCACGCGCCATGGCCGACCATCAACCCGCCGCGGCCGTATCAGCGCCTCTGCTCGGCAGCGCGACGACGCATCACAATGACCACGACGGCCACAATGACCACAACGATCACGATTACTACGACAATCTCGACAACTACGACCCTGACGCCTCCGACTCCTCGTCGTGGCGTAGCACCTTGGCCCGCGCGCTGGCCTCGCGCCGCAAGCACTTTCTCGTCATGGGCGTCGTCGCCCTCGACGTCACCACACTGCTCGCCAACATTTTTCTCCAGCTCATTGCCTGCGAGACGCAGCAGGCCGACGAGCCCTGGGTTGGCACCGCGACGACACTGCTCGAGGTGGTTGGTCTCGTGTTCAGCACCGGGTTTATGCTCGAGCTGGCCGCCTGCCTCTACGCCTTTGGATGGGGGTAAATACCTTTCACCTTTACCAGAAGAATACCAATTGCACAGCCGCTGACTCGCATCTCTTCCCACCCCAGATATCTCTCAAACAAGTTTCACCTCTTCGACGCCGCCGTCATTGTCCTCAGCTTCCTCATCGACATTGGCCTGCGCGGCCCCGCAGAGTCCATTGGCTCGCTGCTCGTCGTGTTGCGTCTGTGGAGGCTAGCCAAAATTTCGGAAGAGGTCGTCCTTGGTGCCGCCGAGCGCATGGAGATGCTCGAGCATCACATTGACGACCTCGAGGCCGAGAACAAGCACCTCCGCGCCGTGGTGGCCAAATCGCAGGACCAAAGTCGCGACGCGAGGAATCGGCATTCCTCTTTGCACTGACCCTGTCAAGTCAGATGATAGGCAGGCTCTGCCAACCTACATAGCCATGACTCGACGAGAAAGAGGCCCTGGTGCCACGCATGATTTATGATTACGACGAGATTGTTTACAGGCACTTAGCTACTTACAATGTAGATCAAGGCACGCATTGATGCTACTGTGCAACACATTGAAAACTTCGTTCCTATTTGGTATATCATGCATGCCCATGCTCGTAGTGCGCCGTAGAATTCATCTTCATCGGTTCAACTTCCTCCATTTATATGTACTAAACACATCAAATGCCCGGTCTTGCAACGCGAAAATGCCAAACGCTTGGTGACCAGTGAAAATAAAACTCCCCATGTATGCCAGATGCTAGGTATATCCCCGTCCTGTGGACTCCATCCATGAGCCATTTGTAATCTAAAGAGGCGTTCGGAGCGAATGCATGCAGACCCCCCGCATATACAGATGACGCAGCTGTCATCCACTTCCGTCCTTTTGCAGACTATATGTTCGACAGATGCCTTTATATCAGACGTGTTCGGTGATCATGTTGTCGTTGCTATTGTCATATTCGTCGTCAAAAACTCTTTCAGGCGTGTCGGCCACGTTTGGCGCCGGGGTTCGTAGGATCCTTGCCGCCAAAGCACCCGCCGAAAAAGTCATCAAAGTTGATGCGGCGCTTTGAACCTGCCCCTCGCCCCAAATGTCCGGATGAGCGCAAAGACCGACCAGGCCCGGAGCCATTCAGTCGGGCTTTAGCGGCCGCTCGTGCCGGGAAAGCGGTTGCATCATGGGGTCGAGAGTCGGAGAGATCGAGTGTGGCGATGTTCGGATATGGATGTGAAGACTGAAAGGTAAAGTTATCCTGTGAAGGAACGACAAAGTGCGTAGGTTCGTCGGATCGTGGTTGGCTCGTCGGCGCCGGTGAATCGGCCTGGACCTGGATGGCCACCTGCTGCGGTTCAACGCTCGTTCGCGTCATCTCGGGTGATGCCGTTCGCTCCGCAGCCTTTTCCGTTTCATCTTCGCTCTCGGTGCTCTGGAGAGCGCTGTCGCGGCCTTCAAGTCGCTCGGTGGCCCATCGTCGTATCCCCCACCCCTCACCGTCACAAAGTCCCATATTTTCCTTGTCGAGAAAGCTCAATAGATCCTCGAGACAGTCTTGGTACCCATCTGTGCGCGCTCTGGACTCGGCCAACGCCGATGTCTTGTAAAGCTTGGTGACAGAGAGTGCGGCAGCCTTGAAAACATCGAGAAGCTGTTCGGGAGTATCGTTCGCCATGGTCTGCTTGCTGCTGCTAGCCGCCGTCCTAGAAGAATCCATGTTTGCGACCCTCGTTGACGTTTTGGTTGTCTTGCAGCGTGTCACAGCGTATGCTGCCTATACGTTGTTCCACGGTGGGTAGCACACGGGCCTGTGAAATGTTATTGTGGTGGTGAGAAAGATACACAGGATCCTTGTTCCCCGCCTGATAGTCGGTCGGTCCTTGATCCAATCCTAGCAAAGTATGGTGAGAATTTTGACAATGCAGAAGCGAAGTTGATAAGGGCTGCGTTGCGGCCCCTTGAACGAATGATGATCCTGTATGCGTCGATGTGTGTTGTGCCGCTGCGTGTTAGGCTATGTTGAGTACAAATTAATCAATCCGCAGAGGCTTCGCCACGGGTGGGTGGAGGCGCTTCTCGCTAGGTACGCTTTTACACGTGACGATATGAGTTGAGACGGACGCGGGGTTTACAAGGCGGCTCTCAACATAGGAAAACTTCAGGGCTTACAACGGCTGTGTTGGAGCCACTCTATCAATCCCGAGACGCGGAATTTGCCCGTTTGAATTTTTAATAGCTTGACATCCTTTTTGTGCTGGCTGGCTGACGAAGAAAAAAAGCCATTGTTGCGTGTAGGGTAATGTGCTAGTGGGGTATAACCGTATAGGTACCTGCGCCTGCGGGGCATGGAATTGGTACTGGCGTTTCGACAGAGGGAAGGCACGAGAGACAGAGTAGAGAGTCAAGGCAATATGCGGATACTTAATCCGTAGTGAGTCGGTATTGAAGTCCCGTACCGATGATGCCTCTTTTAAGACATTTGTTTCGTGCAAGCGCCATGTTCCAACGCCGGTCAGCCAGTGAATGCAGGGCTGGTATCGGACTTTCTATTATCCAGTGTGCCAGTCTTACCACGCGGCAATGGGAAGGGCAACGAAGGCGCCGACCCACATTATCGGTACGTACCTTTTGGTCGGCATGCATGTTGCCTCCCCACTCGCTGCCTTGCCCCAGCTCCGGCGCGCTAAACCAGACTGCGCCGGCTCTTTGGATGTGCAACTCAAGATTCCACTTAGACTCCTGGCAAAAATCACCTTTACCGCGTGAAACCATAGGATATCCTGCTTTCACACTACTACCCCTCGCGACGTCGCGTTTCCATCAACACTTACATTCATTCTGCTCCTGCTTTATCCATAGAGTTGGTCAGAGTGCCGTATTGGACGCGCCCGGGACGCACTGTCGCGTATAGAGGTCTGCTAGAAAATCGCTTGCTATCATGGCGCCCATGCTCCAATCTGACGCCGTCGACACCGACGCGTCGATGTCGGATGCGCCCCCTCATACCAATTCCGGGAGAATGGTTAGTTCCGTCTTTCACTCAAAATTCGAGTTTCGCCCGTCGCTGACATGTCCCCCAGGATGTCGATGAGACGCCCGACTACACTGACTCTGATACCAACCCCAACACCACAGCTAGCAGCGTTGCTGGTGAGCCCATCGGCGATGGTAGGAAGCGCAGATCAGAGGCCACGGCTCTGCGCCGCAGCATTTTCGGCAAAAAACACGATCGTTTGGGCGAATCAAAGGTAGGCAGCGACAGCGTTTGCGACCGGCCTCGCATTCTCCTTGCCGCAAAGCATGCCATTGATCCTGACTCTCAAAATAGGAAGACGACACGATCCGACGTTTCCGGTATCTTCTTGGCCTAACCGATCTCTTTCGCCACTTCATCGAGACGAACCCTAATCCCAAGATCCGCGAAATCATGGCCGAAATCGATCGACAGAACGAGGAAGCCACGCGTACAAAGAAGTCTGGCGCCAGACAAGGTGGCGCTACTAGCGAGAGACGACGTCGTACTGAAGCCGAAGAAGATGCTGAGCTTCTCAAAGACGAAAAGCACGGCGGTTCAGCCGAGACCGTCTTTCGGGATTCCCCTGGCTTCATTCAAGGTCAAATGCGCGACTATCAGGTTGCTGGCTTGAACTGGCTCATATCATTACATGAAAATGGTATTTCTGGGATCCTAGCCGATGAAATGGGTCTCGGCAAGACGCTGCAAACGATCTCTTTCCTCGGCTACCTTCGCCACATTGTCGACATCACAGGCCCTCATCTAGTCATTGTGCCCAAGTCCACCCTCGACAACTGGAAGCGAGAATTCACCAGGTGGACACCAGAAGTCAATGTCCTTGTTCTCCAAGGTGCCAAAGATGAGCGTCATGAGCTCATCAACAGTCGCCTGGTCGACGAAAAATTCGACGTCTGTATCACGAGTTATGAAATGGTGCTGCGCGAGAAGTCGCACCTTAAAAAGTTTGCTTGGGAGTACATTATCATCGATGAGGTGAGCGAAAAGTCGGACGCAAAAATCTGAACGCTGTGCTAATAGTTGCCACAGGCTCATCGTATCAAGAACGAAGAATCATCACTGTCCCAAGTTATTCGACTTTTTACATCGCGAAACCGCCTGCTGATTACTGGCACACCCCTACAGAACAACTTGCATGAGCTCTGGGCGCTCCTCAACTTCCTTCTGCCCGATGTGTTTGGTGATTCAGAAGCTTTTGATCAATGGTTCTCCGGTGAGGACCGTGATCAAGACACTGTCGTGCAGCAGCTGCACCGTGTTCTTCGACCTTTCTTACTGCGACGTGTCAAGAGTGATGTCGAGAAGAGTCTTCTGCCCAAGAAAGAGGTTAATCTCTATCTCGGCATGTCCGATATGCAGATCAAATGGTACCAAAAGATTCTCGAAAAGGATATTGACGCCGTCAATGGCGCCGGCGGCAAACGGGAATCCAAGACGAGGTTGCTTAACATCGTAATGCAGCTGCGAAAATGCTGCAACCACCCTTATCTCTTTGAGGGTGCCGAGCCCGGTCCTCCCTACACTACCGATGAACACTTGGTCTATAACGCCGGCAAGATGAAGGTCCTTGACAGGCTCTTGAAGCGTCTTCAGAGCCAGGGCAGCAGAGTTCTCATCTTCTCTCAAATGAGTAGATTACTGGATATTCTCGAGGATTACTGTGTATTCAGAGAATACAAGTACTGCCGTATCGATGGCAGCACGGCTCACGAGGACCGTATTGCTGCTATTGACGAGTACAACAAACCCGGTTCCGAGAAGTTCGTTTTCTTGCTCACAACCAGAGCCGGTGGCCTCGGAATCAATCTGACGACTGCCGATATTGTTATCCTATACGATAGTGATTGGAATCCACAAGCCGATCTGCAAGCGATGGATCGTGCACATCGTATTGGTCAGACAAAACAAGTGGTCGTCTATCGGTTTGTAACAGATAACGCCATTGAGGAAAAGGTTTTAGAGAGAGCGGCGCAGAAGCTCCGCCTCGATCAGCTTGTCATTCAGCAGGGCCGTGCCCAACAGGGTGCCAAGGCGGCAGCCAACAAGGATGAACTCTTGTCCATGATTCAACACGGTGCAGAGTCAGTCTTCCAAGCCAAGGGCTCAACTGGCGACACCGATGACCTTAACGAGGACGAGATCGATGCTATTCTCAACAAGGGTGAGTCTCGTACCAAAGAGCTCAATGCCAAGTACGAGAAGCTCGGTCTCGATGACCTGCAGAAGTTCTCTTCAGAGTCTGCCTATGAATGGAATGGTGAAAATTTTGCCAATACCAAGAAGGACATTGGCATGACCTGGATCAATCCCGCGAAGCGAGAGAGAAAGGAACAATCGTACTCGATGGACAAATACTTTCGACAGGCCATGTATCCCAACCCCAAGAATGACGGCAAACCCAAGGCGCCCAGAGCGCCCAAGCAGATCCCGGTTCATGACTACCAGTTCTACCCTCCCAGACTCCAAGAACTCCAAGAGCGCGAGACGGCCTATTATAGAAAAGAGATTGGCTACAAGGTCGTCCTGCCCGATGGCGAGGAAGAGACTCTTTCTGATCGTGAGGCTGAGCGGGCGTTAGATCAGCAAGAAATCGACAATGCCACGCCTTTGACCGAGGAAGAGCGCGAGGAGAAGGAAGAATTATCAACGCAAGGCTTTGGAAACTGGAGCAAGCGAGACTTTCAACAGTTCATCAACGGCTCCGGCAAGTTTGGTCGCAATGACTACAATGGAATCGCCACCGAAATCGGCAGCAAGACAGCCCCGGAAATCAAGGAATACGCCAAGGTGTTTTGGCAACGATACACGGAAATAGCCGACTACAGCAAGCACATCAAGGTCATTGAGGACGGTGAGGAGCGCACCCGCCGCATTGAGCAGCAACGCAAGCTCCTCCGGAAGAAGATGCAGCAGTACCGTGTACCGCTGCAGCAACTCAAGATCAATTACTCCGTGTCGACGACTAACAAGAAGGTGTACACTGAGGAAGAGGACCGCTTCCTGCTGGTGCTTCTGGACAAGTACGGCATTGACTCTGACGGCCTGTACGAGAAGATGCGCGACGACATTCGCGAGTCGCCCCTATTCCGCTTCGACTGGTTCTTCCTCAGCCGCACGCCCGTCGAGCTGTCACGTCGCTGCACGACCCTCATCACGACCATTGTCAAGGAGTTTGAAGACTCGGGGCGCGGTGCCAACGGTTCTGGCAGCAAGGCTAAGCGTGAGCCGGAAGACGAGAATGATGAGGATAGTATCCTAGGGATGCCGGCGAAGAAGAAGTCTAAGAATGGAGTCAAGGTATGTTTCTGTTGGCCAATGCAGAGCGGTGTTAAATGTTTGACAAATGCTAACCTCGAACGCAGAATAAGGCACTAGACAATGTCAAGTCCAAGTCTGGCAAGGGCAGCAAGGCCAGCTCTGCCGCGCCATCCCGTGCGTCTAGTGTTGCATCCAGCAATTCCAACGCTGGCAAGAAGAAGAAATCCAGGAAATAGAAACGGCACAGAAAAAGAAATGAGGGAAAATATTTTAATTGGTAGTTTTGTGTTTATCTCGGCAAAGGGGCTGGTATTAGAATTTGTTGTTTTGCACAAGTGTTTGTTTTACATCTATCTGTAGGTGGTCAATCCATGGCTTCCGACGAAAATGATGTGTATGATCGATTGTGTATCAGGATACGGACTTGTGGAATTGGAGCAGACCAAAAAAGAAAAAAGGGAACGCTTGTGTGTTACTCGGTAAAGTTATTACGGTTGGGATTATTTCTGTTTCGTGAGAAGGGCAAGGCGACAGACTGGCTTTGCTAGGCTTGACATATGTAATACAATGTGTTTGCACACTGACTCTCACATGGTTCGATTTGTGTTTAGCAAGTTCTCTCATTTCTTCATGTCATTGGATATACTGTATATCTAATATCCATGGCGGCGCGCCCGCCCGCCCGCTTTCGCCTCGCCATGGCGGCCGCTCTCCAACTCTTGCAGCTCACTGTGAAGAGCCAAAGATAATTGGCCAAACGCTACCTAGCCTTGTTTCTAGTCTTGTTTTTTTTTCCCTCTTCTTGACCATTGCATCCCCCAGACCTACCTCCCTGTGTTCCAAGGAAGTCAATAGCGATATAGGCAGTAGATAAGAATCTCGAGTATAAAATCACATTGCCCTTTGCCCAGTTTGCATTGTCGCCATATAAATACCAGAAAATCAAAATACACAAACGCCATGACGAAATGCAAGCCCGCAGAGGCTATTTAAAGCTCGTCGCGGGCTTTCATGTTGCGCTTTTTGTCGTCCATCTTTCGCTCTTTGCACCCTCGGGGTTTCCATCGATTTAACAATCAGGTGTTGTGGATGGTTCGCGAGTTCGTCCTCGAGAGCTTGTGGAATGCAAAGTTTGGCTCAAGTAGCCCGATACAAGAAGGGCTAATCGAAAACGGGAAGGGCTCCTCCGCCTCTGTTCGCCCTCAATAAACTACCTCCCTGTGTGTCGCTTACTGCATTCTGTTGGCGCGTTCTCTCTCGACCTCGTAAGAAAAGTCAAAGTAACCCTTGTCAAAGTGGTGGATGCGGACGTAGCCGTCCTCTCCGCCACTGGCGTAGCTCCTGCCGGTCGGGTCGGCAGCGACGGTGTTTAGGGGACCAAAGTGGCCGCGGACACGGCCGACCTCGTCCTCAAAGATCTTGTGATAGAAGCGCGCCTCAAACTTGCCCTGGCGGGCCGAGGTGGTGGTGACATCCATGGCGGCTTGACCACCGCCGAGGATGACAAAGTCCTTCTTGCGGGTGATGGTGGCGCTGTTGAGGGGTGTATCGGCGGGGTAGGTCTTGAGGACTTCGAGGTCGCGAGTCGAGATGAGCTACAGGTGGGATAGTTAGTCACGGTGTCGCATCGCTCGGATGGCACTAAGTTTTAGCAGTTGATCGCTGCACATACCTTGGCAGACTTGTCCTTGCTGGCGGTGATGAAATACGTGCGGTCGGCGGACCACTGCAAGTCGACAATGGGCTGATTGAGCTCGTGGATGGGGTAGTTGACGAGGAGGTCGCCCGACTTGGCGTCGAACTGGGAGACGCTGCCGTCCTCGTGGCCGGCAATGATGTACTTTGTGAGGGCGCTCCAGCCGGCAACGGTGGCCTTGCTCTCGTCGCAGACAATGGTAAGGGAGCGCTCGTCGGTCTGCTCAGCGTTGACGTCGGGGTTGATGTCAAAGGTGATGATGTTGGAGAGGTAGCCCATGCGCTTCTCAGTAACGCCAAGAAGCTTGGTGCCGTCCTCGTTGAACTCGACGCGCTTGACGGCCGTGGGGAACTCCCAGACCTTGAGGCAGCGGCCCGTCTTGACCTCCCACAGGCGGATCGTGTTGTCGGCGGAGCCCGAGGCGATCATGGTCGAGGTTGGGTCGACATCGACGGTCCAGATAGCGCCGACATGGCCTGTGTACGTGCCTAGGCGCTCGCCGTTGTGCGCGAACCACGCGCAAATGGCCTGGTCCTTGGAGACGGAGAAGAGGAGATCGCCATCGAGGTTATACCTAAGGGGATGGGTTAGTTAGCGCGTTCTGGGGGGTTCCGGTAGGCGGCGACGAGAAGAGCGGGATGATAATGACATGGCAGCAAAGGAGTGATTTGTAAATGATCAGTCTTGCGTCTCGCCATCACCAAAGGTGCTCGAATTCTCATCGCCCCTCACTTGGCGGGACCTACTTAATCTGGGTGAGGGCACGCTCGTGGCCGGAGAGGAGAATAGGTCTCATGATGTCGGGATGTCTTGGGTTACGCGAACAATGTTGATTCCCCTGTGATGTCGTCGAGAGTCTGGCTGGCGCGAGGTTTTTCGAGGAGGGGCCAGAGGAGGGGCGGGCGTGTTATATTCAAAAGTGCTGTACCACGCTCTCTCTAGGATTAGACTGGCGAGTTTGAAATTTTGGCGATTGTGCGTTTTGGTGGGGCCCGTTCTTGTGGCGGGGCTTTTTTTGGCGGGTGAGAATTGACACAGGGTTGACTTGCTGGATTGGGGTCATTTCAGCGTGCCTGACTCCGTGATTAAGTGCGTCACTTTGATGAGTCACTGATTTGTCCCGCGTAATTAAGGGCGTTTACTTGATAAAATCAGTTCCATATTTTACTTTAGTGATATTTACGATTTTAGAGGATTTTGGGAAGCATTACCCTCTAATCAGATGATGCAAGCGAGAGTGTCGCACTCGGTTCCCGTACTATTTACACGGGGCGGCTTCCTAATCGGGAAGACGAATGCAAGCTGTGCCAAACAACAGCATGATAACCTTTGGCGCTGGAATAAAATTAGTGGAAATAAAGATAACAAAACGTCTGATATAACAGTAGTTCACACTGGTGTAGAAGTAGTACGCCGACGAAGCTATGGCAGATCTCGTCAGGAGGCTTACTCTCGTGATTGGTCATTGAGTGCTCCAAGATGGGCTGCTGCAAACCAACTTACAATTATTGCGAGCCGTGCCACTTTTACTCCAATATAAAGGGGAGTTGACTTGAGTATAGCTGGAATTTTTTTCGTTGGCAACGAGTAGAGTGTCTTGCTGCAGTTTTCCTCGCGACATTGCGAGGCGCCCTCGCATCGAGTAGATTTCATTTGCGCATAAGCAGCCGCTTCCAGTGGAGCCGAGGTACGCATATTACAGCTATGCAGATGATGTTACTCGAAATGAGAGCCCCTTGTAGGCATTGATGGGCTCCCATCCTAATGCACGAACAGCGTGGATTTGATTTGATTTGATGTATCTTTAACGCCGTGACATCCCTAATAAGGGCAAAAGGCGCCTACCAGGGCAAAAGCCCGACGAAGTAGTAGAGCGGCTCCCAAGGAGGACGGACGAAAAGCGGGGATTGGTCAAGCACTCCTAGTTGAACAAAGGCGTTCATTATAGGGCCAGGAATTTGGGCATTCATGTGAGTTGTTGTAATTAGCTCGAATAGTTCTGATCCCTCTTTAACTAGCTTTATCCTATGCTAGCCTCATACTGCTAGGCTTGTACAAGTAGTAAAGCAGCCGTATTATGCTAGAATCGAGGTCCAATTGAATATAATACACACAAAAGACACAGACCAAACTCCGTGCTGGAGGCATTTTCTACCTGATCGGTCTGAACCTGAGCGGCACAATAGACCGGCGGCTCACATTGCTAGAGTTCGCAGGTAGTTGGTAGCCAATTTCCCTCATCACTGTTGGCCAAGTGACGTTACTCCAAGGCTGGTAATCAGCTTCGCAAACGGTTCCCGGCTTGGGCATGGTGCCGTTCAGCCAATAGTCCCTATATTTCTGCACAGTGCATTTGGAAGGGATATCAAGAGCGCAATGCTAAAGAAAAACGTGAGTTAGCAAACAAAGCGGAGAAGAAACCGGGGCCCGAAAAGATGTGCTTTACTTACACCGTAGGCATTCAATTCCAGCACGGTGCTGCCCGTGAAGCCAGAGCTGACGTTGCGAGCCGAGACGATTGGGGTGACGCCGTCGTACGTGTTGCCAACGACGAGAACGGGCTTTCGCGGAGCAACCTGGAAGTTGCCCTCGTAGCGTTCTTTGGGTTCAATCTTCCAGCGCGAGCAAGTCATGCCGATGGATGCCGAAATTGGACCGTTGATACGGCTGATGTTGTATAATCTCTCCTGAATGGGCATGTACTCCTCGAGCGACGAGAGACGCCCCTTGTAATCGGAACATCGGATGCCATGAGGAACTTGTCGGGCTTGTTGTTGGTCTGGTCTGTCTTCGTCCTCTCCAGATGAGCCCACCCATGCCTCGATAAACTCGTCGTCGTAGTCTTCCTCGGGTCCAAGTAGGATGTCAAGAGCCGTGGTAAACACGGGCCAATCCTTGGAGTCATACAAAGCCGAGCTTGTCAGGGTATTAAGCAGGTGATTGTTTAGGATGCCATTGTCACCGGGAAGGGGGATGGGGTTGTAGCGAAGTTTCTCGTAGAGGGACCAGTACAATTGCTCGAGCTCGGCGGCCGATTTGCCGCGACGCGATAGGGCGCAATTATCGGCATTCTTGACGCAGTGCTCAAAGATGGCGGCAAAAACTTGATCCGACTGAACCCATCCTTCATATTCGCTTGTCCAGTGTCAGCAGCATATACATGTTGAAGTTTTCAAGAGATTGGCTTACGCTTCGCCGTGCATGTATTCGTGGGGATTCTGGACGCCGTCGAGTATGGCGCCTTCAATCTTTTCCGGGAACATGGAGATGAGAGTGGCACCCAGTGTAGTACCATAGGATAATCCTGTAGGGAACAAAGTGTTAGTAACGGCAATCTGAAGATGAGATGAGAGAGGGGGCGAGCATACCCCAGTAGCGGATCTTGTTCTTTTCACCAAGTGCTGTGGCGACGGACACAACATCACGCGCGGCGAACGGTGTATTGATAAGAGCGCCAGTCTCGTTTTGTGTTTTGGCGCATGCCTGAGCTAAATTGTCGGCAGCAGCCCATAGGTAGCCCAAGTTTTCAAGATCCTCGGGCGGAGGGTTACTCTTGAGGTTATCCAGTGCCTGCTGCGCGTCAAAGTTGGAGGTGAAGCAATGAAAGGGGAGCGTGGTAGTAGTTCCACTATGCAACGTATTATTAGTGACGGAGAATTATTGGGCGCATTTATCCTATTGTCTCTAAGAAAACATACCGAGGATCAAAGCCGACAATGTCAAATCGCTCTCCAGACATCCTTTTCAAACCAAGTCAGCATTAAACACCACCATGTAAAGCCACAGGCAACCCGACACATTTAATTCTTACATATTTAGAACATCGCTGCGCGACGCCGTCATAGAAACTGCATCCGCACCAGGTCCGCCAAAGTTCATCAGGATGTTACCTAAAGATGGCTGCTTGGTGGCTGGGACGCGGATCAAGTTGAGCGCGACCGTCTTATTGCTCTTGTCGTCAGTGTAATCGAGGGGAACGTTGAGCTGCGCGCATTCTACTGGGAGAGCAGCGTTCTCATTCACTTCGGAACTGCATTCTGTCCATTTGATGGAGGATTCAGTAGAGCTGAGGCTGCAATCGGGGGCAGAGATGGCGGGTGTGGCCTGGGCATATGTAGCAAGCCCGAGTATAGGCAGAGATGCTTTGAGTAGCACCATTGTTGTAATGTCCAAGAGAAGAATTGGCAAGTCAAGAGCAGAGTATTGAAGGCGTAGATGCTGGTGATGCCGAAAAGTTTGACCAAGACAACCTGGGTTTTTGTGAGCTTATATAGAGTTCCATGTAGATTCACTTACACAGAGTGAATTAGGCACAAAGACATGCGATGAAGAGCTAGGCTGAAAAAGATACATCAGCATAGCAGGGCGAGACTGACGTGGGTCGTGCTGCGCCATTGAGGGCAGCGTAGTCTTGATCGTCGCACTTGAGATGATCATCGTCGTGGGCTCATTAAACCGGGATGCTTTAGCTGTGGACTTGGCTGCTGCGCCTGGTCACTCCATGCGTTTAAACTGCCGAGGAGGAGCAAGCGATCGACGTCTTTGGTTCCGTAACTAGCAGGAACGACCAAGTCCTTTATCGTGGTCATCTACGTTGAAACGAAACAAGACGATGTTCAGATACAAAAATTGTCATTGGCTCGTATATACCCCATTCTATCCGTATTGTAAAGTTATTGTGAGGCTTTCCAAGGCCTCTCCTCCGTGGGTGACAGGTGACAAAACTTGTTGGCCGCTTTTCACCGGCTCACCACGGAGAATTCGGCAAACAGGGTAATCATACACGGGGGTGGGTGATAAGGCCCTACGGTAGGGCCAATGGATTTACACATGTTCAGTAACCCATACTCTCAACGTCCGGCGGCCTCGGAGAATTTAAGTCATGTCTAGCGAGGCGCAGCGAAAGATCCAGGAGGGTCCAGCTGGAGGAGGTGGATAGGTAGGCGACGGCTGGCTGTGAACGTATACTTACTTATGCTTATAGGGATTAGGGCCCAATTAGTCAATTCACATCAATGAAGATGTGGATCGGCATTTTTCCTAATCCGTACGACACTGGCAGTGCTAATTTTTAGACTCAAAAGTTCATCATACGTTCTAGTATCCGCTTAGTGGGTATTATACTCTTATTCTTTTCACGGCAAATGAACAAATCACAAGTTCGGAATTTTCTTTATGTAAAGTATAGAACAAGTGACAGGTATAGCTCTTTAGTCGAGGGGCTGAGCTTTGCCCGAGAAGACATGTTGCTCGAAATCGTTTTCGATCGACCAAGTACCATTCTTGAGTGAGTCCAAAGATGACTGGCAGCTTTACTATAATTGAAAGCCTTTAGCCTGGAGACTCGTGTGCAACCCAAAATTATTACGTAGTTGTCTACACTCACGTAGGCTTCTCAGGCGCGTTGCTTGTTATAAACATTGTGAAAGCAGGCTCAAAGTCTACTGTCTGGGACCGCGACGCCGACTTAGCTTCTTCACAGCAAAAATGCATAGATGGGGTTCATTGCCGTGCATGTAGATTTATCTAGACAAAAAGTTACATGGAGAGCCCTGGCGCAGCAATATGCCATCTTGTGCTTTCTTAGTCCGTAACTACTACATACTGCGTACTACATACTGCATACTGCATATGCACCTACCCCTCCCTCCTCTCCCACGCGAACTTCAGTCTTCACATCTCGCCCAGGTAAACAAATTCACCTTGTAATAAAAATCAGTTTTACGAAATCATGACGACAAATCAGTGCAAAAAGCAACCATTGCTTCTCATCACCTATCCACGCTCGGCCTCGAATCTCTTGATGAGGATCCTCAGCTTGCCCGACCAGCAAGAGGCCGTCTCTAGAGAGAGCGGAGGCTACTTTTTCTTTCCAGCGGCGGTCAGGATGAACGATGCTGGGCTGCTGCGTCGACCACGCACGGAGTGGAGCGAGAGTGAGAATGAGGAGCTGCGTCAAAAGTACCAGTCCTGTTATGACAAGCTCCAGCAACTGCTCGACGAGGCTGACCAGCAAGGCAAGATGGCTGTGACAAAGGAACATGCGCCCTTCATCATGTCGCCTGAAGCCGTGTCTGGCTTTCTTTATGGAATTCAGGACGATGTTGTGCCTTGGAAAGTTAAAGTGCTGGAGCGATACCGCGTCGCCAGCCGTCCACCTGGCCTGCAGCCCAATCCCTCTGCGCTGCCAGATGAGTTTTTGCTACAGTGCACCCCTGCGTTTCTTATTCGACATCCTGCTTTGGCATTTCCTTCGTATTATCGAGTCAATCTGTCATTCTGTGGCGGCGACATGGCCAAGTTGGAGAAGGAAAGGGTGCCCTACGTTGCCATGGCCTGCACCCTTCGCTGGACGCGGCAGCTCTACGACTGGTACGCAGAGGCATGGACAGCGCAGGGGCGTCAAGCCAAGAAACCTATTGTTCTGGACGCCGACGACATGCTTCAAAGCTCTTTGGTCATTCTGCGCTTTTGCGATCTGGTTGGCCTAGATCGGGACAAGGTCAAGTTTCACTGGGATCCTGTGAGCAAGGAAGAGCGAGGCGGAGTGAGCGCCGTGACGCGCCAGACACTACACTCGTCATCGGGCATCACAAAGGGAAAATCGTTTCAAGGCCTGACAATCGAAGGCGAGGCGGAGAAGTGGAAGGCAGAGTTTGGCGAGCTTGTCGGGAACAGAATTGAAGGCTGGGTCCGGGCGGCCATGCCTGATTATACCTATCTTGTCGGGAAGAAACTACACGCCAGCTCTGAATAGATGGTACGGCTATTGTAATGAATGTATCTTTGAGCACAAGTAAATATACTAGCTATACCCGCTGAACGACTCATTGTAGACAAGGAAACATGAAAAAAAAACTACTTTGCTCGCAGCTGACTGAATCTCATCGAGACCCATTCCTCGCAGGTCATGGGCGACGCCATGCCATTTTCGCTCTCTTGACCGGCAACAGACGCCAGAGTCGAAATTTGCGCAGACACCCCAGGCCGCACCAGAAAAGCAAAGCTGTACCTATCCCGAACTTGCTTTCCCGGCATAGTGACAACCCGGTGTACGACGCTCTCAATCTTGCCGCCGCTGAGGATTTTGATGGCGTCGCCAAAGTTTACAATGGCGTGGCCGGGCATGGGCAGCACGTTGCGCCACGACTCGGTGCCTGGTGGCAGGATCTGCAGCCCCGGCGACGATGTGAAGAGAAATGTGAGAGAGCCCATGTCGGCGTGAGCCAGCTGTGGAATGCTAAACTCGCCGTCTCCCATCGCATTGGGATACTTGAGCAGGCGGAGGAGATCAAGGGATGATGTCGCAGACTCGTGGTGGCGAGACTCGAACGAGTCGTCGGCCGGGAGCCCAAATGCCCTGGACAGCGCCTTGAATACAAGCTGCGTCATGTCCAGGCAGTTGGAGGTCAGTTGCGTCAACGCTTCTTGGTGCTTATACACTACACCAGGATGGCGAACTGCCAGTCCTGGCATCATGTTTATGGTATTCTGAGATATCTGCTGGGGTGAGTATATGGCATGACTGTCAAGTGACAAGGCGAGAAGGCACATACAGCGTAGCTTTCGAAGCCATCTCGATGGCCATCTATGCCGCCCTTGTTTCTGCCAATTGGCTTATATCTATTCTAGTCAGTGTGTATTTTTTTTTTTTTCAAAAAGTAGCTCATGAATCAAAGATGTAGAGCACGAACCCATTGAGCTTGAGCTTTCCCATCGAGTCAATGTCAAAGAGCAGCTTCTCTTCAGTAGACAAGTCAAAGATGTCGCGACTCAGACGGTCCACACCCTCGATGCTTCGACTCCAGTTTCTCTTGTCACCGTCGTCAAACTTCAAATAAAAAATACCATCTTCTGTTGCAGCGTGGAGAAGCTCGCCAAGTGCTCGCGGGACCTCATTCTGTAGCTCGGAGCAAGTGATGGTGCGTAGCAGTGCCCTGCTGGGCGAGTCGATGCTGTTTTCTTGTGTAAATGTCATTGTCCCCCCGAAACTTGTTGTTGGAAGCCTAGCAATGTTGGGGTCGACGCATTGGCGTTAATTACCCATCATATATGTCACCGCGTAGGCTCTCCTCAACAAAAGCTTACCTGAAGGAACAAGTAGGACCACATATCACTACAAGTCTACTCCCTACCACGACACAGAATGGCAGTATGTGAGTACGTACAAAGCAATACGGCTATTGTGGCTTGAGACATTTAATATTGGGATATCGGTGAGAACAGAACATTGACGCCACTGACTAGCATCACGGGTAATCGGCCAAACATGTCATGGTTCCACGCGAAATGTGCGGTTACGTTCCCAGCTGAACGGTCAGAAAGTCTCAGATATGTCTACACTACTATAATATGCGGGACTTTCTGTATGAGAAAAAACTTTCTACTTCGCCGCCTTACGAATGCAGGGAATTGCATTGCAGTTGGAATACCTTGCAGGGCTTTGCCTACGTTTTCTCATTAACACCCAATCCGCGCAACCACGCAGGCCGTGTACATAGTTTGACCAGCCAGCCACTCAAAAATCTCTGGAGCTTTACAGATTTGTTTTTATTTTTTATTTTCTATTTTTTTTTGTACATGATTCAATCTTTATACGTGCTGATAACAGAGCATTCAAGATATACACTTTTGCCATCAAACAAAAAAAAAAATGGTCGCACTGGTCGCGCAAGACTGCTACGAGGCCGTCATCATCGGCCTTGGCTCGCGAGGCCAGAAAACCTGGTTCGAAAGCCTCCGGACCTCGTCCAAGATTTCGGTCAGTGCTGTATGCGATAGCAACGCAGCTGTTCTGGACGGCTTTGCCTCGCGATACCCGGAAACCCCGGCCTACTCGAGTCTCGAGCGCTTGCTGGAGCAGCACCGCCCAGATTTTGCCATTGTCTGCGTGCCCAACAAGTACCATGTCCCCGTCATCAAGCATTTGGAAGCAGCCAGGGTGCCGTGCTTGAAGGAGAAGCCCATTGCTGGCACCGTTGAGGAGTTTCTCCATCTATGCTCTCTAAAGACCAAGATTGGCGTGACTTTTCAGAGGAGATGGCAGCCCAGATACAAGCACTTTAGCCAGCTGCTCGCTGAAATCGGGAGACCGCTGTCGGTGCGAGCGACAATAGTCGGCCACTACGATCCGCCAAAGGATGGCTGGCGGGTTCGGCACAATGTTGGCACCTTTGTAAGACATGCCTTGCAGTCAAACTATCATTGAACAGTTTACTTATTCAGATCCTTATGAGTCCCCAGGATGACCTCGGAGTACATATGCTAGATGTACTTGTTTGGCTGTTTGGACGTCCTTCAAGCGTCTTTGCACATTGCTTGGGTGATGGCCAGCCGTCTGGGCGAGACCGCGAGTCTCATATCCTGATGACTTGGGAAAAGTCTGGGCTCATCGGCCACTTGTACGTGTCCGAGGTTGCCATCGAAAAAGACGAGGGTTTGATTGTGCGCGGAGCTCTGGGGTCTCTTCATCTCAAAGGCGAGGAGATTATCCTCTACGACCTCGGTGGTCGCCAGACCCTGCAAATGAGCTTCCAGTCTAGCAAGCAGGACGTCATTGTGAGCATGTGTCAAGAGTTTGGCGACTACATCTCGGGCAAGGAACATACATATTCGACGTCTATTTCACAGGTTGAGAGTACTTTTTTTACGACTGAAGCAATCAATTCGTCATTTGCTTCACATGCTGCAGAAAAAGTAGCGCAGATTCTCCGAAATGGCCATCAGAATGGCCACAAAAACGGTAGTGAGAATGGTATTCAGACTAGTCACCGCAACGGCTACCCAAACAGTGCCTCTGATACCTTGGACAAGGAAAGGAATCGCTCCAACACGACCAAAAGCAACAGTCACTCCTCCGAGCCTCATGCCATCATCAATGGAGTCTCTGCAAAGTTGAGCCCTCAAGTCAACACGGCGCCAACAGTCTTTCAGCTCAACAATGGGTGTGAGATGCCAGGCCTCGGGCTTGGGACGCGCAAGCCCAAAAGGCCCAACGAAACGTACGAGGCTGTAAAGAAAGCGCTCGAGGTAGGCTACCGGCACATTGACACGGCCTTTAGGTACAACAATGAGGACCAGGTAGGCAAGGCTGTTCGGGACTCTGGTCTTTTGCGCCAGGCGGTCTGGGTCACAACAAAGGTCGACAACTCTTGGCATCACCGAGTGGCCGAGTCTGTGCAGATTTCCCTGGCTAGGATGGGTCTGAAATACATTGACCTACTTCTCATGGTAAGTAAGGGCTGATCCTATTTATGATGTTGCCGGTCGGTAAAATTGTTGCATTGTGGGAAACTAATTAACACACGGGGCAGCATTGGCCATCTCCGGTTGATCCTGACGACACGAAAAAAGCTCTCCCAAACTGGGACTTTACCATGACATGGTACGCCAACGGTATTCCTTGTTGTTGTTGTTGTTGTTGTTGTTGTTGTTGTTGTTGTTGTTTCAGGCAGTTGCTTGACTGATACTGTGTAGGCAAGACATGCAAAACGAGGTTCAAGCGGGCCGCGTGCGAGCAATTGGCGTATCAAACTTTGGAATACGCAACCTGAGAAAGCTCATGTCTCACCCACTGTGCACCACTATACCAAGGTACGTTGAAGCAAAGCCCAACTGCGTCTATTGGCCAAGCCAAATTGGGATCCCAAACTATCATCGGTGCCCTGAGCTGAACGTGCGCCCAAAAACACCAAAAAAATAGCTTCATCCATACTGCCCGTCGACGAGGCTCGTCACCTTTTGCAGAGAATATGGCATCCACTGCATAGCATACTCGCCGCTTGCATTTGGGCTGCCAAAACTCCATGACCATTCCGTCTTGGCCGACATTTGCACGCGGACGGGCAAGACAGTCCAGCAAGTCCTGTAAGTTGAAACAAGACCATTTGTTTCCCACGCAAACCTTGGCCGACAGTAATTTTTTCCAAAGGATTCGATGGGGCTTGCAGAGGGGTACTAGCGTGATTCCAAAGAGCGTGAGCCCGGAGAGGATCACGGCCAATTTTGAATCGTCGGCCTGGGAACTGACGCCCGAAGACCATGCGAGACTTTGCGCGATTCAAGGTCGATGCCGAGTGTATCCAGACGATTGGCTCCCAGCTCGGGTATTCTGGGAAGAAGATGACTAAATCAATGGACGCAAGATGAAAGCTAGATTTTTACTTTACTTGTTCTTTGGTCGGCTTGTAGTCTTGTCGCAGACCCTCCCTCTCATGTATATCTCAACTTTGATTGTATGTATTACCGATTGCTGCTGCTCTTTTCATTTCTCATTTTAGTTTTCTTTTCCTTTTTTTTTTTTATCACAATCAACATTCACTCAATATATTCTTCTCCAAACCTTTCTTCTTTACATTAACTACTTATTGTCCTTGGCAAAGTGACATCAGTACTGTAGTAGATCAGGTGGCCAAGCGCTCATTCGCTGCAGTTTTTCCAAAGTTCCAAAGTTTTGCTTTGCTCAAGGTATATCCTACCGAGTATACTTAGAATAGCAGAAGCTCCGTCAATCAGTCGCATCTCCATACAAAATTCTAGATTCATCATCCCACCATTCCGTAAACATGTGAATCCTCTGCATTCGCTGCCCCGCCAGATTCCTTCCAGTCCCCGTCTGCAAGGTACAATCAGCAAATGATTTTCGCCTTTTTCAATCCCCTAGTAATGTTACCTTCATCATGGACTCTAGCTTTTCCAGCTTTTCCGTCATGTGGTTTCTCGAAAGCTGCATGTCGGACAATGGCATCTGTGCACCACCATACGTGAATGCGCGGCCGATGCCAATCGCCCCAATGGCGTCCAGTCTGTCCGCATCTTGTACAATGCCCAGCTCAGGATGCATCGACAAGACGGACGAGATGCGGTTCGGATGGCGCATCTCTGTCGAGTACGAGACGTTGTTGACAACAGTCACAATCGCAGTCGCAATAGGCCCATGGACTCCAGCCTTTTCCAGAATCTGTGTCAGCTTGGAATCTCCGTCCGCATCTTGTGTATACTTCTTGTCCGTGACATCGTGAAGGAGCCTAGATTTCTGGGTTAAGCAAGAATTTATAACAAAGGCGGAAGAGGTGTGGGCGGGCCTCACGCAGCTAGAAGAACAACGGCTGGGTCGATAGTAGGCTCGCTGTTGCGCTCGGCAACCATGATGGAGTTTGCCAGAGCTACAACGCGAATGACATGATGAAAATTGTGAGATGCGTCGAAACTAGCCATGTGGTTCTGGACGGAGATTGCAACAGACTCCAACACCTTGTCTGTTGGGACTTGTTCGACTCCGCATGCGGCGCGGGCAGCCAGTATAATCTTGGCAAGCGCCTCCATCGTGTAGCAATGTAGTTACTCGCAAGAGGTAAATTTATGTATCTTGTCAAGAGGTAGGCAAGAGCAAAAACAAGAAAAGGATAATCGGGTGGACAGCTCCTATGTTCCAGGTTGTCGACTAGCCAAGACAGGGGCCGGAACTCGTTGCCATGTCTTACACAGAACCGTTCTCAGGCCGCTGACCGCAATTGACTAAAGACATTTGACAGGGTTCTCTGTATTGAAAATTGCGGCCGACTTACTGAAGATTGTGCATCATAAATGTTCTCCTTCAAGGTGGCTCTCGGCCATGGAGCTTTCACTGTATACATACTGGACCTTGTCATCATTGCCAACCCAACTACTCACCCTTCTACAACTACAATGGAACGTCTGAAAGAGAGTATATACGGCCTGAAGGTTGCGCCGCGCATCCGAACCACCCCCATGCAAGTCCTGGCTGTCGGGCCCTCCAGGTCAGGCACAGGCTCCCTACGAGAAGCACTGCTTCAGCTCGGCTACCATCACACCTACCACGGCTTTGACACTGTGGTCCACCCAGAAGACGACATCATCTGGCACAAGCTCAGGCTGAAGCGCGAGAAGCTAGGCCCCGGATCCCTGACGGCCGCCGACTTTGACCGGGTCATTGGCCACTGCGCCGCCATCACCGACCATGCAGCTACAGCATTCGCCCTCGATCTCATCGCGGCGTATCCAGACGCCAAAGTCATTCTCAATGTCCGCAAAGACGTCGACGCGTGGCACAGGAGCGTCATGCAGACGCTCATGCCGCTGCACCGGAGCTGGACATTTTGGGTCCGCAGCTGGTTCTGCTCCGAGCTGTTTTGGGTCCGCGAGAGCTTCATGCGCGGCAACTGGGACAAGTTCTACCGAGGCGACTTTGAGCAGCACTCGCGCGCCGTCTTGGAGCAACACTGCCAAGCGGTCACGTCGCAGGTTGCACCGGAGCGGCTGTTGGAGTGGGAGATTCACGACGGGTGGGCGCCGCTGTGCCATTTTCTCGGCAAGACGGAACCGGATAGGCCCTTTCCTACCTTGAATGCAGGAAGAAGTTACGAGAAGCTCTTTCGAGAGCGAATGGCGCGCGCTGACGGAAACATGCTCCGGCTATTGGCGGGTCTTGCAGCTGTGGCGATTGCTTCCGCTTATACCAAGTACTTTTTGTGTTGTAATTGAGACAATAGTACAGATTGACTCTAAATAATGATCAGTAATCGTCTTCTCCCCTGGCTAATGTGTAGGTCAATGTATCGGCATCTTGTGTGCCCGGGCATGTCTGGCAAGTGTAGCAGCTCAGCTGTGGTCAAGACAGCGTTGCAGGATATTTAGCTCGGCATCTGGTGGATGAGGCCAATTTAAACGACGGCTGCACCGCAAAAAGTCGGAATGTTTTACTCCGTATCCCGAGATCTTCGGGCACCTAATATTAATATGAATATGAGACAATATGAGACAATATGCGAATGCCGCAAAATACGATGCTGGCTGAGACATTTAGCCATGGCTGCTGTGCGAAACAAGCTACATATTTATTGTTTTGAGTCGTATAAGTAGAGCGGCAATCTGAGACTTGAGGCTGAATAAGTAGATTAGTTGACCGAATACGGATATGCTCAGAGTAATTGCTACTTACTGGGCTTGTCTTTATTACGTTGGTCCAGTGTGACGAATCTGCGGCGGGAGAAACGAATCCAACTAATGGGACAATCATCATGAACAGCCGTGGCAGGCTCATACGCGCTCTGCGCGGGCTCCGGTGTCGGCAGTAAGTCGTTGGGGTCGCTTGCAGGTATTGCTTCTTCTTCTCACAGACTACGTGGTATCTCAACCGCCTTGACCCGTCGCAAAGAAGCATGCAAGGCCTGGTGCAATTTCTCAACACTTGCACAATCACTGCTGATTATCCGTCCGAGTTTATTCTGCCTCGTGGATAAATCCTTCACACTTGTGTCAGAATCACTTTCTCAGCGGCCATCGCTGCCATATCCTCATCAGAGAAGCAGAGATGGATGCAACCTCAGAGTGTGTCGGAGAGTGCCAGTTGCAGCAGACGCTGGCACTCGAGGTCCGTCCAGACACCACCATTCCTCTGCAGATAGCTCTTCAGTTGGCGTGGTCTGCCGTGCTAGGCTGTTATACCGGATCAAACGACGTGAGCTTTAATCTTCTTCATGTCGACGACCAAGCGGCCCATGCCGACGATGCCTTCACCTGCAGCACTGTCAGGGTCCATCTTGCGCGAAACGACTACGCACAGCTAGCAATGAACAAGTTGTCGCAAACCAAGGGCTCCATTGAAGACGAACCCTCTGATACATTGCTAGCTCTGTGGGCAACAGTAAACAGGAAACATGCACAACCGAAATCAGTTCGCCATGCCTATTCACAGTATCAACTCTCCATCGAGTGTTTACTGACTGACAATCCGGTGGCGCTGCGAGCCTTCTACAAGGATGCAACATGGTCGTCCGCGACGATTCACTTTATACTGCATCAGCTTCGCCACGCAATCCACCTGCTGATGACAACACCTTCGGTGCCAGTCTCTGGCTTGCAGACCATCAGCGCCGAGGGCCGGAGGCAGCTGATGGACTGGGACACAGCTTCGTTGCGACAGCCCCGTCTTGAGACTGTATGGGCGACGATCGAAAAGCGCTGCAGAGAACAACCTACGAGCATGGCCATTGAGTCCTGGGATGGCCGTCTTAACTATGCTGAGCTGGAGCAACGGGTCTCTGCTGTCGCAGAAAAACTCTCGCAGCTAATGCTACTGCCAGGCACGTTTGTGGGCTTGCTGCTGGAAAAGTCAATGTTGTCTACCGTCGTAATCCTTGGTGTCATCAAGGCCGGATGCGCATTTGTACTCCTTGACGCGTCGCAGCCAATTTGCCGTCTCAAGGCAATGTGTACCATGACAAACGTGGCAATGGTCGTTGCCAGTCCAAACAACATCAAAGCAGGCCTATCCCTCGGGACCATCTGTCAGTCTACAGACGAGTTCCCATTAGTACCCTCGGGCGAGATATCACATAGCACACCAGAGCCCAGCAGTCCGTTGTATGCTGGATTCACCTCGGGAAGCACCGGCGAACCAAAAGGATTCGTTATTCAGCACGACAACTTCATGAGCGGTCTTGATGAGTACTGCGCAGGTTTGGATCTCAAGCCTGACTCGAGAGTGTTTCAATTTGCCTCGTATTCATTCGTGGTCAGCATAACGGGCCAGTTGGCACCTCTGGCTCGTGGTGCTTGCCTGTGTATTCCATCGCAGTTCCAGCTTGAACATGACCTTGCGGGGGCAATCCGAGATTTGAGCGCGGATTGGATTGCTATTACTCCTTCTGCAGCCCGGGTTATAGCCCCAGGCACCGTGTCGTCTCTGAAGACACTAGTTATGGTTGGAGAGGAGATGTCGTCCTCAGACTTGTCCAAATGGAGCCACCTGAACCTCTACTCGCTCTACGGGCAATCTGAAAACTCCAAGGGCACCATGATTGCGAAGAAAACGGGAATAGATGCCGCTGCTGGTATTGGCAGACCGTATCAGGCAAATGCCTGGATCGTGGATCCCGAGAATCACAACGTCCTACTTCCAATCGGGGCGGAAGGTGAGCTGGTTATCGAGAGTCCGTGTCTCACCAAAGGATACATCAACAACGAATGCCAGACTGAGGCATCTTTTGTGACAAATCTCGAATGGGTTAAAAGTGTTGGACGAGGAGCCGACGTCTGTGTTTTCAAGACGGGCGATTTGGCGAAACGCAACGCAGCCGACGGCTCATTCCAACTTCTCGGGCGAAAGGGCACAAGGATAAAGATCCGAGGCCAGCGTGTGGAATCGGGCGAGGTTGAGCACCAGATCCGACGACTTCTACCTATCGCCAAAAGCGTCGTCGTCGATATTCTTTGTACCGCCGAAGATGCGCTCGAGCAGTCACCCATGCTTGTTGCCTTCATTGTGACGAGTGAAGCATCAACCAGCGATGCGGACGCGCCTCTACTAGCGACGCCGACATTGGCATTTCGAAAGCAGTCCTCGCTGTTGGATGCCTGCTTGAAAGACGTCTTACCATCGTTCATGGTCCCAACAGCATATGTCGAGTTGGCCGCGCTGCCGAAAACTAGCACAGGCAAACTTGATCGCCGAAGGATGCGCGAAGCGGCGGGCGCGTTGACCCGACGAGAGCTGATTGCGTACTCTATTCAGCGCACTGCCCACAGAGAGCCACGATCTGGCAGAGAAACCATTATACGGGACCTTTGCGCGGAAATACTTCAGCTCCCCAGCGATGAAGTCGGCATGAACGACACATTCGTCGATCTTGGAGGAGACTCAATTATGGCACGCCACCTCACCACCCGTGCCAAAACAAGCGGCATCTCCGTAGAGCTGCGAGAACTCTTTAGACCTGCAACTTTAGCCCAGGTAGCACAAAGCGGCTGCTCCAAGAAGAATTGCGAAACGCCCAATGTCGCTGGCAGTCCTGTCGACTTCGTCGCAGCTCGGGAGGACTTTATGAGTAGATTTCCTGAACTGTTTCGTCAACAAGACATCGAAGATGTATTTCCCGCTTTGGAAACCCAGGCAGCGTTTGCTTCGAACCGAGTGGTGGATTGCTTGCCGCTGCACATTTCCGGGACGGTCGATGTGATGCGGCTGCAGCGTGCGTGCCAGGCACTCGTTGCTCGGCACGCGATTCTAAGTACCGTATTTCACATGTCTCGCAAGATGCTGGTACAAGTAGTCTTGCGCGAGTTACCGGTGCCCTTGTTGAGACAGGAGTGTGACAGCTGGAGCGCAGCTGTACGGTGGGTGGACGAATACGGGTCGCAGGAGCTGAAGAAGCGATGCGACATTGGAAAACCCATCATTGGATTCGTGCTGGTGACAGTCACGTCACAGGCACGCCATATTCTTGTCTTGAGATTAAGCCACGGGCAATATGATGGGTTATGCTTGCGTCCTCTCATCCAGGACTTGTGGCAGGCTTATCGAGGTGTACCTCTTGTGGTAAAGGCAGAATTCAAGGCGCACGTGTTAGAATGCTACAGAAGACAAACTGTTGAAGCATACAATATCTGGCGTGGTGTGTTGCAAGGCTCCCACCCACCCCGTCTATTCCAGCGAGTACCGGCCGCCAACGCCGAGGCCACCATCTCTCGAACGAGGAGACAGCTGCCCAAGATCCGCCCGCTTGCGGGAGTGACGCCAGCCAGCATGGTCAAGGCGGCTTGGTTTGAGGCCCTGCGGCACGAAACAAAGCACGACGATGCCGTCTTTGGCCAGCTCCATCACGCGTGGTCCGGCATCGACGGCGTTATCGGGCCCTGCATCAATGTCATTCCAGTGCGTGTGCGGCAATCCCATGGACTAACGCGACGACAAATCGTTCAGGCGATCCAACTCCAGCATGCTGAAACCGCGTCGGCGAACACGCTAGGCTGGAGTGACATTGTGTCCAACTGCACAGATTGGCCTGCGGCGACCGAGGTGGATTCAGTGGTTCTGCACCAAAACTGGGATCGCGACATCCAAGTCGTCAGCGATGGCATCATCTGTAAAAAGGAGATGCCCATGTTTTCGGACTGGGCCGTGTATCCGATGCTGCTGGTGACGCATCCAAGGGGGAGCAGGCTGCATGCGCTGCTTTTAATGTCGTCGAGATATCAAGGGCTGCGGGACCCTGTCAGTATGCTGAACAATTTTGCACGGGCACTGGAGCTACTAGAGAGCCACCCAGACGAGATGTTGGACAGCAAAGGGCTGTGAAAGCATCTGCCGTGATAGATATGAACATGAGGACATCTCGAATAAAAGCCGTTCGTTCCAGCAATTGCGTTGCCAATAATTTGTCGACTGTCCAAGGCTATGCCGCCCTGGAGGTCCAGTCCCAAAGTATTCCAAAGACAAAATTCATTGACTGCAATGTTGCCAGCGCCGCGCTGCGACCGAGTTCCCCGCAGTCAAGTCCGGGCCGGCTCCGATCACGTTTTGCGCCGGGCCACAGTACGCAGTGCGCGGTGCGACAGGGTCTGCGACATGCGCAAAATTAGTAAAGAGAATTGGCAATGAGAAGGCGCGGGGTAGCATCACCCACACCAGATGCATCCTAAGCCAGGATTCTCCGAGAGTAGTGTAAGTTGGGGTGGTGCAACGTTGTCTGGCGTGCTGGCAACGGAGCGGACCATTGTGGACAATGCCACTGCTGCAGTCGGCCCGCACCATCGAGCAAATCTTCAATTGTATGTGACGGCGCTGTAGGTTTTGTGAAATGCATAGTCGAGCATCATGCCCCCTCGCGACTGTTTGTAACAAGATTGGGTATGCGACGCATAGTCAGATCCAACACACACAAAAATGCTCTCTCTAGTTTCCGACATTGCTCTCACTGGCTCGAGCGGCAGCGAAGCAATCAACATGGCTAACATCATCCCATCTTGGCCGAGCCTAATTGTGGCCAGATTTAGCGTCGTGGCCCGTGGGTAAGGGCAGCTACCACATGGTTGGAACATGGCTGCAGCAGGGCGCCAGGATCCCGCATTGATGTTTGTCATAGTATGGTGCCTTTGACAAAGAGGTGGTGACAGGGAGCAGGCAATGGTTCGGAGCGCGGACGGTAGCACCGGAGTTTGTGACGGGACACGGCAGGTCGAACTGATGCGTTTTCAATTTCCCCGCAGAATCGAGAGAGGGACCGTTTGAGGTGAGGGTTGTCTCCTGGGAATATATAAGAGAGGCCCGAGTCGGACTTGTACTTGAAAGGGTTGGGTTCTGAAGATGGTATGGAGTAATCTGTCCAACTAACTAGTGCCCCCAGGAGAGCGGCACAGATCGCGCGAGACAAAAAGGCGGACACGTTTGCCATCGTCGTTTGAGTTACGAGTGTCGACAACCACAAAGGTGTGACAGAGCCGTGAGAAAACTCCATCAAGGGACCCGCGAGGGATCAGAGCGAGAGAAAAAGATAACGCCATCGAGACCAAGTTAGTTACAGTATCCGCAGCGGACCTCGACCGACAGGGGCGACGACTCGACGAGCTCCAAGTCCAAGGGAGGAAAAGTCAAATCGAACCAATTGGGTGCCGGCGGCGAGCTTTTTCGAGCCCTCAGGCCTTCTTTTCTTAGCACGGATTACGGCACCGACGAACTCGTTGTGGCCTGTCAGTTCAACACTAGACGGGCAAAAATTTTCTCGCGCCACGATCTCACGCGAGTAAGAGACTTTGGAGCGGCGGGCAAGCTAAAGCTTGGACAGTCTGCACATTTTTTTTTTCTTCCATCGGTTGATCTCTGTCGACATCCAACACGCATCTTTGTTGAGACAACAACCAGCAGCAATGTTCTGCCACAACCGGGCGAGTGCTGCCGCGCAGGCTGCGAGGAGGACCTGCAGCAGCCAACGACGTGGCGTCTGCTTGCTGAACAGAAGTAGCCGGACGAGGAGCGACTTCATCAAGGTTGTGTCTGTATTGCCAACCGCGTCGAGCCGCTCTGCTTCCAAGGTGGCTGGTACTTCAAGGCACAGCCTTGCAGCTTATGCTTCTTCACTAGAAGCTCGCCTCTTCAGCACTATAACCACCGAAGCCAGCGCTAATCTCACCCCGCTATCGCTATCCACATGCTTGCCCGCTTGTCCGGTTGCTGCCCCTCCTCATCGTTCCGACAGCTCGACTTTTGTTTCCTCTTCCCTTCGTCGTCCTTGCGCTTCTTTGTTCGCCCAATCTTCTCCTTTCTCTTCAAGTCGCGGCACAGGACGCTTCTTTTCTACCACGCCCGCAGCCATGGTCGCCACCAAACTCGATGGCAACGCCATCGCCAAGAGTATCCGTGAGCGCATCGGCCGCGAGATTGCTGAGCGTCAAAAATTGAACCCCCGATACCGCCCCTCGCTCAAGATTGTTCAAGGTACGAAAGCTCGCATGAAACAACATTTCAATGCATCTACAATTATCTGAAAGCTCGAATTTTGCCGACCTCTTGCTCTGTTCTCTGCTCCAGCTGCTAACTTGCTCTCCTCATAGTCGGCGACCGTCCCGATTCCAGTTCGTCACAGCTCCCGCAATCACCCAACCCACCTCCGCCAACTGACTCATCCACCCATAGGCACCTATGTTCGCATGAAGCTCAAGGCTGCTCAAGAGGTATGCTTAGCGCCATTTAGCTGCTTGTATAACCTTTGCCCAACTCTAACCCTCGCAGGCCAACATCGACTGCGAGCTCATCTCTCTCCCCGAGTCCATTTCCGAGCCCGAGATTCTTGACCTTATTCGTCGACTCAACCACAATTCCTCCGTCAATGGCATTCTCGTCCAATTGCCTTTACCCTCACACCTTTCCGAGTACGCCGTTACCTCTGCTGTTGCCGACGAAAAGGACGTCGACGGCTTCGGCACCAACAATATCGGTGAGCTCGCCAAGCGCGGTGGCACCCCCATCTTTACACCATGTACCCCTAAGGGTGTCATGCACCTCCTGAAGGAGGCTGGCATCAGTCTGGCCGGCAAGTACGCCGTTGTAATCGGCCGCAGCAACATTGTTGGCAGCCCCGTGAGCTACCTGCTGCGCAACGCAGATGCCACCGTCACCGTCTGCCACTCCAAAACCGCTGGTCTCGAGAATCACATCAAGGCCGCCGACATTGTCATTGCTGCCATTGGCTCTCCTCACTTTGTCAAGGGCGAGTGGCTCAAAGAAGGCGCCGTCGTTATCGATGTTGGCACCAACTTCGTACCTGACGCTAGCAAGAAGTCTGGTCAACGTCTCGTCGGCGACGTCGACTTTGAGCCTGCTTCCCAGGTCGCCTCGGTCATCACCCCCGTTCCTGGCGGTGTCGGGCCCATGACTGTCGCTATGCTCCTCGAAAATGTTGTCGAGGCCACCAATGTCTTCTTCGAGAACGAGAAGCTCCGCAAGACTGTTCCGCTACCCCTCCAGCTCCTCGATCCTGTACCCTCAGACATTGCCATTTCTCGCGCCCAGACTCCCAAGCAGATCACTCGCATCGCCGCCGAGGTCGGCATCGCTCCCCACGAGCTTGAGCCCTACGGCGCTTACAAGGCCAAGGTTGATCTTGGCCTACTCCAGCGTCTTGAGCACCGCGAGAACGGTCGCTATGTTGTCGTCACCGGCATCACCCCCACTCCTCTTGGCGAGGGCAAGTCCACTACCACTATGGGTATTGCGCAGGCACTGGGTGCTCACCTCGACCGCGTCACTTTCGCCAACGTTCGGCAGCCTAGCCAGGGCCCGACCTTCGGCATCAAGGGCGGTGCTGCCGGTGGTGGCTACAGCCAGGTCATTCCCATGGATGAGTTCAACATGCACTTGACTGGCGACATTCACGCCATCACCGCTGCCAACAACCTGCTGGCTGCTGCCATTGAGACTCGCATTTTCCACGAAAACACCCAGAAGGATGCTGCTCTCTACCGTCGCCTTGTCCCCGCCAAGAACGGTACACGCAAGTTTGCTCCCATCATGTTTCGCCGCCTTAAGAAGCTCGGCATTGACAAGACAAACCCCGATGAATTGACCGAGGAGGAAATCAGCCGCTTTGCCCGTCTTGACATTGACCCCGAGACGATTACCTGGAGACGCGTTCTCGATGTCAACGATCGCCACCTCCGTGGCGTCACTGTTGGTACAGCTCCCACCGAGAAGGGCCAAACCCGCGAGACTGGCTTCGACATCTCCGTTGCCAGTGAATGCATGGCAATTCTGGCCCTTAGCACCAGTCTTCCTGATATGCGCGAGCGTCTTGGCCGTATGGTTGTTGCCACTTCTCGCAAGGGCGACCCGGTCACTTGCGACGACATTGGCGCTGGCGGTGCTCTTACCGCTCTCATGAAGGACGCCATCAAGCCCAACCTGATGCAGACTCTCGAGGGTACTCCTGTCTTTGTTCACGCCGGTCCCTTTGCCAACATTTCCATTGGCCAGAGCTCCATCATTGCTGACCGACTTGCTCTCAAGCTTGCCGGTACTGAACCCGGTGAGGATGTCAAGGAGAAGGCTGGTTTCGTCGTTACCGAAGCTGGCTTTGACTTTACCATGGGCGGTGAGCGATTCTTCAACATCAAGTGTCGCGCTTCCGGCCTTGTTCCCGACGTGGTTGTCGTCGTCGCCACTGTCCGTGCTCTCAAGGTCCACGGCGGCGGCCCTCCCATCGCCCCTGGTGCTCCTCTGAATGCCGTCTACAGGGAGGAGAATATCGACATTCTCCGTGCTGGCTGCGTCAATCTCAAGAAGCATATTGCTAATGCCAGGTCGTTTGGCGTTCCTGTTGTTGTCGCCATCAACAAGTTTGCCACTGACACCGATGCCGAAATCCAAGTCGTTCGCGAGGAAGCAATCGCTGCTGGCGCCGAGGACGCTATTCTGTCCAACCACTGGGCCAAGGGCGGCGCCGGGGCCGTTGACCTAGCCAAAGGTGTCATTGCTGCTAGCGAGAAGCCCAAGGAGCTGACCCTTACCTACGGTCTCGACGGCACCGTGCAGGAGCGCATCGAGGCCATTGGAAAGAAGATGTATGGTGCTGCCGCCGTCGAGTTCAGCGAGCTGGCACAGAAAAAGGTCGATACCTATACCAAGCAAGGCTATGGCAAGCTGCCCATCTGCATCGCCAAGACGCAATACTCGCTGTCCCATGATCCTGACCTGAAGGGCGCCCCTACTGGCTTCACCATTCCCATCCGCGATGTCCGCATGGCTGCTGGCGCTGGGTATCTGTATGCCCTGGCTGCTGATATCCAGACTATCCCTGGCCTGCCCACTGCTCCTGGCTACCTCAACGTCGATGTTGACCTGGAGACTGGTGAGATTGACGGTCTCTTTTAAGGGAAACAAAAACAAATATACCTACTTCAACACACCTTTTTAAAAATCTTACGCACACTTACCAGCACTTTAACACTTGGCTGGTGTGCAAATGCATCGCGCAACCGAGAGACACTCAACGTATCATATGTGGCATTTTTCGGGAAATTGAACGGGGAACGGAACAAAAGAGTTTGAGCTATGTGACAATGGGACAACGAGGGGGTATGATATGTTTCTTCAACAGCAAATGGCGCAAATATCCCGCAAAGGTTTTCGGTTTCTGCTTTCTATAGTTGTTTGATATACTCGAGCATACCATGGCATTTGCCACTACATGCAAACTTCATTCATAGCGCAACGACGAATGGTAATGATGGGAATGTTGATGAAAGTGAACCAATAGCACGGCTGAGGCGTTTAGACGCTTGCCCATGCCCACCTGTGACGTCCACCGAGAGCTGTTTGCAGCAAGCAAACACGCAACTGGCTGACATACAAATATACTCTTGAAAGCTCTAAATCCAAGAAGAAAAAAGAATGTGCCATTGTATAGGGCTCGATAATTGAACAGATTTTGGGGTTGCAATGGGTCCATGTAAATGTCGGGAGCAGAGATCATAGCGGGGAGAGGACATTGGCTTCCCATTTCGACACAGATTCCACCACGATGCGGGCGCGCAGCCTGTCACAATTTCGAGAAGCCTACCTCGCTCACTAACAAGAGCAGCCAGAGAAGATCGGTTCCGAGGCGATGATCGCAAGGGACCCATAAAGATTGATGTATCCACTCACTATGTTTTAAACCTGTTTGCCTGGCGCAGGTACGCCTGCGTGCAAAGGTCGCCAGTGCGGGATTCGATGCGGGAAGAATGGGAGAGCGGAGCGCCCAGATTTGCAATGAGAGCGCGCTTGGGCGGACCAAGCTGTTAGTTAATAGGCAGTCTGTATGCCGTGCAGAAGTGCGAGAGAGGCGGGCCGAGCAGCAAGAGATGACCTCGGGTATACAAACGAGCTGCTCGATAAGCGACTGACCGAAGACAATGAGGCAGGACCGGAGATAAAGAACCTGGGCATGGGATTTCTGGGCCAGTTTATGCGTACGGGCAACGACGGCGGCGAATTGGACCGCAGCGCCATCATTGGCAACTCGTTCATTCTGCAGCTGGCCGGGCACGAGACGACAGCCGACGCTCTGTTGTACACTATAGTGTTCCTGGCATGCTTTCCGGAGGCTCGGCGGCGGCTACAACAGGATTTGGATGCGGTGCTGGGCGACACGGAGCTGACAGAGTGGGAGTACGGCAAGGTAGTCACCGCGCTACTGGCGAGTCACGTCGGGGCGGCCATGTAGGAGACATTGCGATTGATGCCCCCGGTTCTGATCTTGCCCAAGTTCACGGCGCAAGATCAGGTGGCAACCGAGGACGGGCAGCAGTACACGTTACCCAGCGGCGTACCGGCGTTGGTCGCGGCCATGTGCACGGCAATGGACCCGCGATACTGGTTGACGGGCCCGAGCCAGTACGAGACAGGCAAGACGGATCTTGCCGACCATCTGCCACAGCGGTGGTTCCGAGAATGTGATCAGGACGCAGAGAAGGCGGCAGCAAGCAGCCTCTCGACCAAGGGCGAGGAAGAGTTATATGACAGCGGCTCGGTGATGAGCGACAAGCTATTTCGGCCAGTGCCAAGGGCGTATTGCCGTTTAGCGACGGATCACGCAGTTGCATCGGACGACGGATGGCGCCGTCGCAGATTATGACGGCATTAGCGGTACTGTATCGGCGACACAGCATCAAGCTGGTGGTGGACAAGGAGGACGTGCAGGAGAAAAACACGGAGCAGGTGCTGTATCTAGAGGCGAGACGTAAGACTCTGGCCACGCTCAAAACGGCGAGAATGGCGACGACGCTGAAGCTGTTGGTTGGGCAGCAAATTGGGTTACGGATTGCAAATCGTGGAGAGGAGAGGTTTGTGAGTTGGATGGACTGAGTAATCGTGAGCAGCGGAAGGTGATGATGTTTGATTGTAGCAGCTGTGCGTATAACTTGTTATATATATTGGTAGCTTCCGGAGTTGCAGGGTCAAAGTTGATTTGAAACAGGGCTTGGTTTGCAATCAGAGTCCGAAAGATGCAGCAGTCTGTCGTGGTGGCCAGTGCAAGGCAGATAAAATGGAGCCGTGCGAATTTACAAGACGATGAGGCTCACTGGTACTGGCGGCTGGGCTGGAATTGAACTGGGGTTGCCGGCAGCCGGCGAATCAGCGGGGGCGGGAAGCAAGGAAAGGCAGCTAGCAGACAAGCGAGAGCAAGACTGACTAGAACAAACAAGCTGACGGCCCGGCAGGAGGAGCAAACGGGCAATGGGCGGGCAAAGAATGGACAAAAGTGTGTACGTAGCAGAGTGGCAGCTGACAACTGCGAGGTGGACCGCGTTTGGTACGCGTCGCGTAGACAAGGCCGTTGGCAGCTAGCTAATCGAGGGCATCGTCAACCCTAAACAACATACTTGTTTAGTTCTGCTTTGAAGTGAATGAATTTAGTGCCGACATAGATGAGGATTTTTTTTTCTTTGTTTTCAACGACTGATCTCCAGCCTTGTAGAAAACTGACCCTTACTGATTCCAGCTCTACATCGTCAAGTGTAAAGGGCACACACCTTGGTAATTGCTCCGGCAACAAAACACACCCCTAAATGACCCGCTGTAACCACACCACACGCCCGCCGTTTCCGGTGCTCACTGGCTCTTGAGCACGCTTGTAATAGTAATCACGCTAGGCACTGCAGCCACGCCCATTTCCCAAAACAAAAAAGGTAAACAAGCCATCAAAAGGCTGGCCGTTGAGTGACTCTGCCATGATGCTTCCCTGCCTTGAGTCCTCGACTCTTCAGTCTAGCTAACCAATAAGATACCTACCTATAGTCTCCCAACCCCCCCATTTCTTCTACGCGGCATCACACCCATCAAGCATCTCGTCTTGTCCATTTATTCCACCAGCCCCCAAAGCCATTTACCTCCGCTCTGTTGGCTTACAACCCCTGTACAGTGAAGAAAAAAAAAAAAAAAAAAGCTGTCCTGCTAGGTAGGTACCTGACCACCGCCGCCCACTTACCCAGAATCCGAGGTCCTCGCCTACTTACTTCTTGTCCCGTCTTACCTTCTTCCTTTTCCTCCTTGTCATCTAAACAAAAAAGGACCATCTTGTTATTCATCTGGCTTTATAAGATCATTGCGCTTCCGTGTCGCTTATTCCCACGGCGCATCATCCACACCACATATTTTTTTCTTCTATTAACAAAGCTTTTTTATAGCTTTCTATACAATACTTTTTCCGTCCGGGAAAGAACCCTTGAACCAGTTTGAGCTCGATTCGATTTCGTCATGTCGTCTTCCAACAACAGCAACGCCTGGCTCAAGGCCAAGAAAAAGACTGAGCTTAGCGACATTGCCGACAAGATTGGTCTTAAGAGGTAAATCTTCTTCTTCCTTTTTCGCATCACCGTTTTCTGTCGTCGGCACTTGGGCTTTGTCGGCGCATAGTGCGCCTGCGCAATGCCGTTTGCTGCTGTATCGGTCGCGGCGCGCATTGCATCGCATCGCGCCAAAATCGCTCCAGCTCCTCCTCTCGCCGCCGCCTCACCGCATTCGCCGCCAGCTATCGCTGCGCGCATCCACATCGCTTCCCCGGCTTATCCTTAACGCCTTGCTATTGCGATGCGCTTCTTCGCTTGTTTCAACACCCTCTGCATGCACATTCTGCCCCCCAGTTGCGGAAGCCACTGTGCGACTACTGCCGCACCTCCTACGCGGTGCTTTCTCGTGTCTACAATCTTCGCGCAACAACATGCGGCCCACTCCCAGAGCTTCACCTGTCGCAGCCGCTACTTGCGCGCTCTTGCAGCTACTTTTATGCTAACCAATTACGCGCAGCTACAAAGATCTCAAGAAGAGCGACCTCGAAGCTGCTCTCGACGACTTCATTTCTCAGCATGCCTCGCGTTTCTCTGCCAACCCCGACCTCACCGGTTACTTCACCAGCCGCTCCAAGGCCCTCACCTCCCCCATCAAGAAGGAGAAGGATAGCGTAAAGGACGATGTTGAAAAGTCTCTCAAAGTCGTCAAGCGTAGAGTCACCAAAGCTGCCGACGAGATTGCTGCCGAGTAAGTAGCGTCATCGCTTCTTCCGAACTCTTGTCGCAAACGACCAGAGTCCACTAACTTGACTGTCAAATAGGGTCAACTCGAGCGCCGTCCTCCGTACCCCTGCTCGCACCCTTTCTCAGGTTGCTTCTCGCGTCCCTCTTCCTGCTTCTCCCGCGGATATTGCCTTTGCTGTTGACCGCTCCACTGTTGCTATGCGCAAGCGCGTCGCCTCAATTTATCAGGAAAGCGGCATCACCGAGGCTTCTAATGCCACTCGCGAGACTCTCAGCACCGTGACCAGTGTTCTCTTCTCCGTCGCCGCTTTCGAGCTCTACTACATTCGTCCGGCCATCCTCGCCAACCGCTTTGCCTTCACCATTCCCGCCATTTCCGCCATCGGCACCAGCGACTACAACGTCTACCTCCCCGACATGTTCCTGCTTTTGACCTCGAGCTTTTGGTCACCCGCTCTTACCTGGGTTTTTACCGCCATCCTCGTCCCCAGCATCGTTGGCTACTTCTTCAACATCTCTGCCAACAGCCACGCTGGTCCTCGCACTCGCGCCCGCGCCCTCAACGAGACTGTTGTCGATCCTCTCAGCTTCAGCATCGCCAAGGCCGTGCTGTCATACGTTGTCTACGCCCAGGGTGTCACATTCGGTGGCCTTCTCTCCGAGTTTTCCGTTGCTCGCCTCAACAACGCCGTCTATGGCGGTTACCAGGGCATCCTGGTTGGCACTGCCATTACCGGCCTTGTCGCTATCTACGACGCTGCCCTCAAGAAGTAGGATGAAAGAAAGTTGATCAATCGCTCGCCATAAAAAACCACCTTGGCGCGTCCTTCAGCTTGGTATTCACTGACAAAGCATTCGACTTGCCTGGTGTTCTACGAAGCTCGTCATCCTTTCTTTTTCTTTGCACTTCTTGTTACATGATTACAGCGAGTCGGCTTTTCCTGGGTTCTTTTGGAGTCAAGGCCAAGAGTTTGGCTCTCAACTCCCACAATCCTTGATCGCAAGAGTTACTCAGCCGACTTTTGCCACCCTCGGACGCGACATAGAATTTGACGTTTCATCTTCTGCCCTCAAATTGAGTCTTGGCTTCTCCCCCGAGATCTCAAGCCAGTGCTTCCTACTTCAAGACTGAGCGGGCAATCTTTCTGTTTGTTGGGACTCTGGGCGTTTTTCGACGCTGATGGCGTCTGGCGTGGGAAGGCAATTTTCTTCTTACATTTCCGCAGCATTTATTGCATGCCTATTATTCGATACCTCTTTTACGTTGGGTTTACTTGTTTAATGAGTTCTGCTAGACGGTTGGCTAATGATGGTGTCGGGACGCTTCGATCAGGTTCTTGAGTTATCAATGCGGCCTATGCTGTTGCTTGGATGATGTATGTGTTTTCATGAACGCGGCATGAAATATTGTTGCTTTCTTTGGACTTGTAGCGACTCCTCGAATAGTCTGCTGCTGTGTCTGACTTGATGCCTGATAACTTGGTTGATCTTTTATTAGTATCTTGTTGGTCCATGTCGGAGCAAGACCTTGCCACTGGCGATTGCTAGACTAGTATGAAGAGCGCGATGAAGAGCGCGCAGTCGGGAGACGGGAACCACATTTTGGAAAATGAATCGAAAAGAATGGGATATCTAACTGTTTGGATAGCGACGACAAGCGAGCTGGTTTTCGTCTTTTCTTGCTTATAGTCTAGGTGCTTTTCTTGCTTTTAGCCTAGGTGCTGTTCTTCGCGCTTGCTTTTTCTCAATTTCAATTTTGGACTATATTGTTGGTCTTGGCAGGGAGAAGGGATTTCTAGCCATTTTTATCCCTCGACTTTTTTTTTAGCTGGTCCATCGAAGTCAATTGAATGTTTGTCACGCTATTATATCTCGAAGTTTTCGTTAGTCTACATCATCTCTTCCTTTTTGGGGCAATCGCAGCATCCATCACAGTCCATCCAACAGCGCAGCATTGTAAAATGTACATTTTGAACTCTAGAGTCGTTGGAAAACAAAAAGCAAGCGAAAATGTTGAGGTCTAAATTGTGCTAGTAGGATCAAGACAGGTTAATAAACAAACAGAAGAGGCTGACATGCTCGATGCTCTCTCTTCCTCCTCCTCCACCACCACCACAGCAAATACAAACTGACGTACCCACACCATACCATTACCGGCTTTTTCTTACTATCGTTCGTCCGGATCCTCAAACTTGATAGGATGTAGCAGCATGCTCCGTAGACACATCCGGCCCGTGCTTCCCTCCATCGACTCCTCTTCCTGCCCTCCCCGCATCGTGCCCCGGTTTCCCTCGCCACCATTCCGACCCCGGCCGTCCAACTGCGGGTAGCCGAGCCATCTCCGCCAGAGAAGGCCCGAGAACTCACTGTTGTAGTACCAGCTCATGCCTTTGTGGTTGTGCTCGTTGCTCACGTCAAACGGGCTACCCGGCCCAGACGTCGAGTGGTCCTGCCCGCCATTGAAGGCTTTGTCAAGGGCAAAGGGGCTCCATGCTCTGTCAACGTACAGAGGGTGCGGCGCATAAGCAGCTTTGAATCCGTGATGGAGTGCCACGCTCGGAGGAAACATTTCGGAAAACATGCTGTGGTGGTGACGCCACAATTCTTCGTGCATAGCCCCAAGCAGACGGCGGCTCAGTCGAGACGCCGTGATAATGGCACACCGCCGCGGCGGATTCGATGGATAGCCTGTAGTATCATAGGCAAAGACCCATCCGGAGTTGTCGGCGTCGAAGAGAGGGTTGAGTGTAATAAGGTCCGCGGGCTCACCAACGCCACACTCGCTTGCGTCTTTGCCAACGGCACAGCTTGCCGGGAGAACGGATTCGCCGCGCTGCTCGTGACGAAGGGGTCGCTTGCCATGAAATTGCAAGGGCCCAAAGATGAGTTGTCTTCCTGCTTCGGTAGTTTGGCGTTCAACAGTCTCAGTGAAGTTGTCCCAGTCACCGTGCAGGGCGGGAATGTAGTAACGGGCGCTGCGCTCCCAAAGGCGAGCACGCGGCTGCTTATCTGCCCACTTGCCGAGGCGATCAAAGAGCTCATAGTAATTACCGAGGAATCGCATGTCCATCTCCCAGTTCCAAATGTGTTCGTACTCTTGGTGCTGGAGGGAAAACACCTGAAGCGGCAGGTGGGCGCTGCGATATACACCGTGAATGTCTGCGCCGCTTGGGTTCTGAATTGGTGCGCTGAACTTGCCAGGATAGAATAGCCTCATCTGTGCCTCACTCCACAATGTAACCATGTTGTGAAACTCGGGAGGAACATTCGTATCCAAGATTCTTTGCACGGTCGCGTCATCCGACCAGATGGGGGCATCGTCGTCCCGTACATGCATCAAGAAGTGCACAGTGTATTCACCTCCAGACTTGAGAGAAACCTCTGTAATCAGAGCTCTGAAGTTCAGCACGGCGAGATAGGTCCACTTGAAACCAGTGTAGAGACGAATGACTATAGCTTGTTGACCCTTTTTGGAGTCATTTGGTGGCTCAAGCTCGTCCGTGTTGGGGTCGATCTGGCGGTAGCGATTCCAGTGTCGTTTCGAGCACCTTTCCTGGGCATCGCCCCAGTCCATGGAGGTGTAATCAATTTGACCAGACTTCTCCCAGACAGTTTCACTGCCAGAGCTTTCAGTATTCATACCGACGCTTGTTCCACCCTTAGCTAAACGATAGCCAAGACCATACGGTCCGTAGCGACCAAATCGGTCAAAGCATACATCGTCACGCATGCCAAACATGCTATATGATCCGATGGCGGGGTCTGGCATATGTCTGGAGACACCATTGTAGGCGTACAAGGTCGGCGCCGGAATCTTATCCTCCTTGTCTAGATAACATGTCTTGATACTATCAGAGGTTTCGTAGGGGCTGTACGGCACCGGCTTCGGAACCTTCTTGTTCAAAGGAACTCGGCCCGTGAAAGCGCCGCTTCGCTCGGCACTGGGCCACTCCGGATCGTGGCGAGATTTGCTGACTAGCGTTTTAAGGCCATGAAAATAGGCATTGAGACTTGTCTGTTAGCTGGTAATATGTGCGTTTGAAGTATCCATGTGCTCACTGAGGAAAACGAAGCCAAGGCATTCGCTTCAAATTTTCCAGTTCCTGCCTTAGTCGATCCGTGTTTTCGCCGTCTAGAAGGAGAGTCCTCTCCGATTCTTCGGCATCTTGGTCATATTCCGGGATATCTTCATCGTCCAGCTCGTCTTCGTCTTCGTCTTCATCATCCGAGTCAAAGTCGTCGGTGCTGGACTGATCGCCAGAATTGCCTTTAGATGACTTGCCGTTTGACTTGTTCGGCGATGGAAGCTGAGATCCAACGTCTTCATCGGAATCGTCCATGAATTCTTGATCCTCATCTTCGTCGTCTTCCTCGGCGACATCATTTTCCTCCTGGTCCAGATGCTTGGCGTCACCAGTGCTCGGTGTCACCTGAATTTGTGACTGGTCCTGCTCTTTGGAGGTGATATCAATGATTCGCTGGGCCTCAATATTTGCCGACTTAGCTTCATGGACCTCGTGAAAGAGCTCGGTGCTTGATCCTTCGGCTGTGATGGGCGAAGAGCCACTCTCAGTAGTAGTATGCTCTTGCGTAACAGCTCGCACAGGGCCATCATGTTTGCCAAATAAAACAAACGCGGCCATGAACAAACTCAACGCAGTCCATAGAATGACACGCTTGTAGAGGCAGTGGCTAAGAGGATTGCGTAGCTTGACTGGCACCTTTTCGAGGACAATCTCCGAATAGGGCAACAGGGGCTCACGTTTGCGGTCCATGAATACCGGACTAGAGTCGCCGCTGAAGCTGCCGAAAGGGCTCTTGGATTCCATTTCTGCTGGATTTGAGGCTCAATAACCTCGTTTGCATAGGTGTTATAGATAAGCTGGTAGCTTCAGCCAATGCGCACGCACATAAGCTGGCTAGCTTTTGCTTTGGAAGGAAGCCGACAATAGTAGGGCGAAATGAAGAGTAATAATACTGCTGAAAGACCGATGGAAAGAGGGAGCCTGGAAAAGACGCTCAAAGGAAGCTCGTGCGGTGTAAGGAATGGATCTGCATTGATCGTGACAAGGTGTTTGGGCTATCAACGAGACAATCGTCGTTGACGAGCTAGTAGATGATGTGACGAGCGGAGGTAGTAGAAAGTTGTCGAGGAAAGGATCGAAGAGAGTGAGAAAACTATCAAGGAAGAAAACGCGCAAAAGAAAGTAGTGTAGATGTGTTGTTAAGAATCGCCAATGGGGAGGAGAAGGGCGTTTGGTGTAGTAGGTAGGTTGGACGAACGAATTGGCAGCTTGGCAACTGGCAATGCAGATCTACAGCCGGCAAGCAGCGTACGAACTCGAAACACAAACATTGGAGACGGAGGCACACAAAGACACCAGAAGCTCCATCCTGCAATCATGGGGGCGCTGCCAGGCACATCAGCCTGAATTCACTGCACATGCATTCTTCAATTCCATCGCAGCCGAAGCAAACGTAACGGCCGGACATGTGCAACCGCAGCCCGACGCGAGGTTACGCACAAAAATTTTCGACGGCATACCTCGAATTTGCGACATGAAAATGACGATTTGCTCAAACGCTCTCGCCGATCTTGCACCCCCAAGAGGCCGAGTCGTCGAGGGATATTGGGATGATACCACAAACTACCCACAGAAACGCACCACGCGGCGTCTGGATCGACATGCTCGATCTTGCTAAGCTTTTGACGAAGGCCCCGGTTCCCCTTATTATCCACTCGCAATGACCAAACAAGGCAAAATTAATGACTTTCGCTGGAGACGAGGGAGGAGCCATATTGCGATGCACACGCGGCCCGGGCGAGTACATTTCTTTCAGATCTGACCAAGGGGGGGACAAAAAAACCGGCCCTCGTCGATTCTCGACACTGTCTTATTAATTATGATAACACGCCAGAGCAAGTAGAATAATATTTTCAAAAATATAAATTATATAATGAATCATTTTCACACTTACTATACTTTTTTTTCTTTTTTTTTTTAAACAGTCTATGTCTAGAAACATGACGGTTTAGAAACGAGGTGCTTTCTCAGAAGGGCCAGTTCCATGTGTCCCCCACATGAGAGGGGGTTTTCGAAACAGGAGCTCCGAAGTGATGGTGGCGTCCCACTCTCGCAGCAAACACAAGCAGATGTTGTTCAACAGAGCCGCGTGCTGCCAAGAAAGTGCCTGGACCGCGAAAATACCGCGACGGAGGGTTTTTTTCCCCCAAGGTTGCAAAAATCGCTTATTTGGTCTGCGTGAACCGCTCACCGTGGGTGACAAAACTGTTCGCCGCTTTTTAGTTATGAGCTGGTGAGAAAGCGGCGATCAGTCTTGTCACCCAGGTGCCGCTTTACTGGCATCCGCTCCCAATGGCGATCGGCAATCCGTGGCGGCGCCTGCTGGAGAATGACGTTGTCGCATGCGGCATGCCTCATCTCTGAGACAATTCACAACTGATAAGTTGCCCAACGGGCTAAATCTTCCATGAAGACAGCCACTACTTCCGACTTGGTGGCGACCAATGCTGTTGGAGTACGGTGTTTCGAAATCAAATCTACATGTGCAACTTCGTTTTGTACGTCTGCACTATATTATCAGGAAGAGGAGGCGTTGCGGCAGACGTTTCATCCACCGACGGTTCAAGTCTTCTCGCGCCATCACCAGCGCTCCATTCAAACAGCTGAACCGCTCTCTTCCGACCAAAATTAGAAGGTCCTCTCCTCAATCTGGAACGTCTCGCACGTTGTAGTTGCAGACAGTCGAGACCGACAAATTAAAGTTTGGTAGCACCAACTTACCACGACAGCCGCCACCGGGTACAACGTTTCCGCCATCCTGAAGCACCTTTCTGTTCGAACCAAGAGCAGCATTCAATACGATGAATGTACCAGTGTACACTTGCAGAAGCCTTTCTATAGGAAGCTGCTCTATTTGAAAGCTTTGTCTATACTTTATCTGTAGGGCCCTTTTCCCTTACCGGCGTCGTTATGGCAGGTTTCTCTTCTGGGACAATGCCCGACCTCCAGCTTTCACCCCATTTTACAGTGGCCATTAACACACCTGAACTAATCACTAGCAAGGCGGTATTGATAGTCAAGGTCCACCCAACACCAATACCCCGAATCATGGGAAGCGCAACCGCGGTAGCTATGCAAGCCCCGATGTAGCGCACCAGCCAGCAGATGGCAATAATATCAGCGCTGAGCGACGGCGTGTTTTCCAAGCAGTACGTATTCAACATGGTAGAAGCGATAATTTGACCAGTAGCCTGCACGAAGAGGAAAATAAGTGGTACAGGCATCCCGCCCACTGCTTTGTCAACTGTCCACCCATATATCAAAACGCCGCCACCCTGCAGAATGGCCAGAGCCGGAATGCAGGCGCGAAGTCTATCTTCGGGTATGCGTCTACCGCGCTTCCTGATCCATCTCTTGGCTGTCCAGTCACCGTATCTACCTGCTATGATTGTTGAGCAGAGGCAGCCTGCGCCCGGCACCAAATAGAAGACGCCCGACAGGAGCGGTGATTCGAGACCGAAGCGTGGGTTCAGAACGAAGCGGATAGGGACAAGCATGCAGTAAAGCGCGAACAGTGTGACTGCAGAGGCAAAACTGACAGCTACCACGTTTAGATATCGAAGCAGACTCACGGAGCGGAGCGGGTTGATCTCGCGCGCTATGGCGGCCATCTTTTGCCGCCGTGGGAGATGAGCCATGTCTGTGATCAGCTTATGGTGAGTCGTCTCGGGAATGAGAAAGAAACCAGCTGCCATGGTCGCGATGGCACAGCCAAGCTGCACCCAGTATATGATGCGCCAGCTGGCAAACTGGACGACGAGGCCACTCATGAAAGGACCAAACGATGGCCCAATTATGGTGCATGACAAATACCAGCTGATTGCCGTTGCTCTCTCGGTTGGTTTATAGATATCGCTTGAGAAATGAGTCAGTGGCCCATTGCATGAAAGCAAAAAAAAAAAAAAACGATTTATGCCACACTGAAGGGTGTGCGGGCATCGAGTCGACAACTCTCGCGTACCTGATGATTACGTTACCAAGGATGGTCAACGCAGATCCTCCGATTGCGGACAGAGCGCGGAAAATGAAAAACGCTGAAAGATTGGGTGACAGAGCAGTACCCAGACTCATGCAACAAAAGAAGGCACAGGCGTATTGAATGATCTGGACAGAACACAACTGGTCAGCACTTTCCCTCCTGCCATCATGCCCGTTTGCCATGATTCAACTTACAATACGTCGACCGTACAACTGACTCATGGGGCCCCAAACAACACACCCGACACCTGTGAGGGCAATGTAGATGGCGTTGCTGATCTCGACGATGGTATCTGTGGCGTGAAATGATTCTGTGATTTCCGGCACTGCGGGTAGCACGCTGGTGCTGGACACGAGGGCCACAAAGGCGCCGAAGCCGAGCACGGCGACGATGATGCGCTTACGGCCTGACGAGAATTTACTGTAGATTTCCTCGCCGTCTTCGTAAAATTTGTCGTCGTCGGCGTCGCTGCTGTCGTGGCCGTCATGGTGAGTGCGGTCTTTTGCGCCGAGACGCGATTCGGTCCGGTGCGGGCCTGACATGGCGGCATTGTCAGCCGTCACGACGGATGGTATGGGCTGCAATACCCCCATATTGCGCAGACCAGCTTGGATGTGCAGTTGTCTATGCGATTATGCGCCGGGGGGAACTTGTCATCTGGAATTGAGGTTGCCCGACAAGCCTCTCGCATACGTTCAAAAGAGGAGGGGGGGGGGGGGGTAGCTCTGAAGCCAGAAGTGCAAGCAATGCAGACTAGGCTTGATCAGCTGCAAGATTCCAATAGGAACTATATTCTGAGTTTCTCACTCCGATTGCCATGCTAGGGCAATCTTGAGGAAGAGAAGATGAAGCGAAAATTTGATGTAGCCGAAGGTACGTCACGAAGTATCTTTTCAAAGTAAGAGTGCGAGTTATTTTGATGCTTGTTTGCTCTAACGGAATGGCCAAGAAAACAGAACTAAACCTTGTAGAGAAGGAGATATAGAAACAATAGCCCTCCGTCCATGCAGACGGGGAGCGTTGCTGGTTTTAAACAGCCGGGGCCATGGCGTACCGTGTCGGCCTTCGCACCGGCCGGACACCCCATTGACACCCGAGGCGCCAAGCAAAAGAGACCGAACCCAGTAACCTGAATTTACCAACCAGGTACGGTGAGGGCGGAACAAGCTGGTGATCTCCTTGTCATCATTTTGATATCTGAACTCGCCACCAGTCCCATGTTCCGACACTTACGAATACTATTATTACAATGACCGAGCAGAAAAGTATTCGGGTCTCTTTATCTTGCAGTGTCAAGCAATGAATGACCCAGTCATTGAAGAGCCAATGGACTAGCTCCCGTGGCGTGCTTATACTATCCAAGTAGCCGAGTACTACGCTGTTCTTGTCGTCTGCGCCCCCCCGAGAACCGGGGGCGCGCGATGTGGCGGCGAGCGGGTCAAGCCCGCCGCCAGAAGAAAGCCTGCCGCTCAATTAACATTTTTTATGAGCGGCAAGATTGCAAAACACCATTAAGCGTTTTATGACAAAAGTTTGAAAGAGTTGTTTAATTTAAAAAAAAAAAGAAGAAAGAAAAAAAAAAGGTGATTTGCTTGCCTAAACGGACAAGGACCAAAAAACTAGAAGAAAGAGACCTTGCTCATCCGCTCTCGGCCGGTATTGTGAAAATTCGATAACAACAAATGGCAGAGACAAGAGAGAATGAGGAAAAAGATGTGGCGCCAAGCCGATTGGGCATCGGGCTA